ATTGTGAGTGATGTCTTGAATCTTTCAATTACAAATGACAAAATCCTGATCGTAAGTGTCTGTGTAGTTGTTCAATGCAAGTGACTCGATACCATACATAATATTCTAAATATAGTATATTATAAAATATAAATTGACATACTTTATTGATTTTATATCAATTTCATCTAAGGCTCTTAATTTATGTAAAGATTATATTTTATATTAAATGTATTTAGTAATGACAAATTGTATCAAATAATGACAAAGTGATTAATATTTAGCAATTATTCGCCGAAGGCGATGTGATTACCGGTGGCTATTCACCAAGACGAAGTCGAGGTGAATATTTACCGTAATCACTGAGCCTGAGGCGAATAATTGTTTTAGCATAAATTTTTAATGAATAAAACAAAATATCCAATTATCAGTTCAATTAAAATTCAGAAATAAAACTGTTTTCGGCCTGTTTATGGTTACTGTCACAAATAGTGTTGCAGTGGTTCTTGTACGCATACGCTTTCAAAATGGCTTGTTGTGTGACTTTATTGCTTTATTACAAAGTTGTGTTTTTCTCAATTTCTGCTTAGAATATAAACACAATAACGGAATAACTTTTTCACCAGACTTAAAACATAGTTTCTGTTTAGCATTAATTTTTTCAGGATTAATTTTTTCAATGACTGAGAAATTTGGTAAAATGAAATGTAAAACTATATCGTTCGAAATAAAGTTTTAATAACACTTTTCACTTTACAAGTGTCGAAAACACAACACAGCGGTACCGGTCAGAACACCATACAGCACAATGAAAACATGACATATCAAAAGAAATAGTATCGTTTGTCCAAAGTAATTACTTTGCAATTATACTAATTAATTGACACACATTAAATGAGACCTTTAAGGCAGCGTTTACACTGTACCGTTTTCGTAGCGTTCTCGTCCCCGAGCCGACGGCGCAAAGCGCCGTGCGAGGGTACTAATTCCCCCCGGCTATTTACACCCGGGAAACGAAACCATTAGCGAAGTCTAAAGTTCATCAAATATCGCGGGAGTGGCTCACCAACGATGTTTCGGTGGGTGGTCATCCTCACTGATCTCAAAATATGTGGCGGACTGTCATGAATAGCGAAAACTGATTGGTCCAATTTAAAGTTTGCATTATAACGACTGCATGACGACAGCGAAATAGCAAACATTTCTTGATTTGATGATTGATAAATTTCTTGCAAATATATTTCATTTTTGCTCGCATTTTTGCAAGATTTTGTAAATTTCAAGAAAGAAAGGGCGAAAGAATCGGCTAAAAGAAGTGAGCCGACGTTAACGAAGGTAAGTTTGTTTTAAATATTGATTTTATAATGGCTTTAATTTAAAACCTGACGGCCTTTGCGTATATATGAAACAACTAAACAAGACAGCATATAATTTCAGTGCATCTTTAGTAATATTGATTCCCTTTTTTATGACATTGAATTTTTTAAATAAAACAGAAGACAGAGTTATTTACAAGCGAGAATTTGAAATCATTTTATTGCAAACTCAAAGTTTATCGATAAAGCCATTTTAAAAGGCAGTTTTATAGTTTTTATACAAAGAACACTAGTGACTTTAAAACGTTTTGCGAAGCGTTTGTGGTTGAATTTCACCATAAATTGAGGCTTATATTACGTATAATAACATACCTAACATATATATGTTGGGAAATTAATAATTTTGGAATTAAAAGTGATATTTTTTATAGCGATTTTTCATTTGTGAGAATATTCTTAAAAATTATCGTGTTACCATGACAACTACTTCAGATACTTTATGTTCCGAAAATAGAATGGTTTTGTCAGCAAGGCGAGGGTTTCTGCATGCATGTATTTTCTAGTATTGTTCTTAATCCTCAAGGGAACGCAAGACAATAGTCTAGTTCTGTCGAACAATACGAGAACGCTACGAAAACGGTACAGTGTAAACGCTGCCTAAGTTAAGGCCTAAAAAAATACGTGCGATTCCGGTTTCATATCGTGAAAAAATTAGGGTTGGTAGGTCGGAAATAGATTTTTTTTTAAATATTTTTTTCATGGTTTTGGCGAGTTTTTTGCTGGGCGATTTGCAGTGGAGTCCCGACATCAATATTAACTAGAGATGCGTATTTTCCTATGGACGAATTTAAGCAATTTGGTTCAATAATTAGTGTGACAACAGACGCCATTTTGGCACGCTGTATGAGCAGCCTGCAACCACTCGGAGAAGATAGGATCGCACGGTCAATCTCGTTGAAAAAATAATTAGGTCGGCAGAAAAAAATAGGGTCGGTCGGGGACCGGAACCACAGGTATTTTTTAGGCCTAATTATATTCGACTGATGTCGCATTTGACAGTCTTAACCCATTGAGAGCCAGCACTCTCCCCTTGATGAGCAAAATTGTCTGGCATTAGACAGAGTAAGATAGTAAAGTACATTAGATAGTCTGATTAACCCATTGTCCATTGAGCAGTAGCACTCTCACATTGACCAGTACAAAAGTACAATCAATCATCTGGCACGTTAAGCTGAATAAAATAATTGGTAGCACTTAAAAGGGTGAACCAACTTTTCTAGACTTGGCACATGTAAAATGCAGCGTTTAGACCGGACATTAAACAGAATATGTGTTGTCTGCATGTGTACAGTCTTGTACAGATAACCATTAGATAGCATTTTTAATGAAGGAAAGAATATTGAGAAACAACCAAATATATCCCACTCACCATTCAGTAACAAGATTGGGCTTCGTCCACAACAATCGCCTTTAAATTGTCTGTATATTTCGTCGATTATAATAAATATTCAAAAACTTTCATGTCCTCCAATAAAGCTTTTGCACTCGCAAATATTATTGTACTGATTGCTGTGCGTACACAATGACTCTCCCAAACTATACATTGTATCCAGGCGGTGTGCGCAATACGACCGCAAAGCGTGATGGGGTTTTCGCGCCTGAATTGCAATTGCACCTCATTTGCATTTTGCTTTGACCGAGTGAACATCAGAGACAATCAGTGTCAGCGAAAGTAAATACTCTAATTTAATATTCTTCGATGGGAATCAATTGCCTTTATTCCCACACATAAAGAAATATGGTAATAAGGTGCATATCAGCGAATTTTATGGACGAATTGTGGCAGTCGACGCTGCGTGTTGGATCCATAAAGCGTTAGCAATTTTATCACAACATGGCAAATATCTCGAAAGGTGAGTTATAAATATAGGTACTATATTGGACTATTTTATAGGTAATTACTACATATTTTCACTAAATACTTATCTTCAATACAAAAAGCTGGAGTGATTCCATTTGTAGTGTTTACTTAAAGCATATACAACAATGTATAATAATTAAATGCTTCTGATTGCTTTTATTTTATGTACTGTAAGCACTCAACTTGGTTCACTCTCAGTAAATGTTCAAATAGTATCGATACTATTAATAGCTAAAAACAAAAATGATACAAAAATATTCAGCCTTTGTGTTTGCGAACTTGACTTATCTGCAGAAGGTAAGGATGGGAATTTCATTAGTTACCATTTACTGTTGTTAACACAGAGGAGGGGCTGGTTGATGAACATTTTGATGAACAATTTCCATTTTACCAGAGAAGCTAGCTGCTACCTCCTAGTAAACTCACTGCCATTGTAGTTCGCCACTTCCTAGCCTACCAAAATCTTTGCAGTCCTGGGTTATTAGCACTTGTTGTGATGGTCAGAATAAATTTCTTAACACAATCAGCATCCTGGACAAGCATTTTGCCAATGAGCTTGCTGCAGGAAACATCAACCCAACAAGTGGAATAAACCAAAATAACTTTTCTCACCTCCAGGTAGTAATTGGTTGCATTTTGATCAATGCATACCAAAGTGAAATAATCTGAAGTTTGTTCGTTCACTGCAACCTGGTATATCAATCATGTTTCGCTCGCTACTCTGGTTTAAATAAATTATTACAAAGCCCAGTCGAATTGTAATCAAGACCCAACGTTTCGACACTCCAGTCTAGTGTCTTCATCAGGGGTGATCTAAAACTGCGATCGTGGCTTCTTAAATACCCAAGGGATGACGTCACCTGCCAAGAAGATGCATATATTCTTTGCCTAGAAGCGTGGCATATAAATATGAGTCATCATGCTTTGAATAGGGATGACGGCGCCTATTTGCCAGAAGAATATATGCATCTTCTTGGCAGGTGACGTCATCCCTTGGGTATTTAAGAAGCCACGATCGCAGTTTTAGATCACCCCTGATGAAGACACTAGACTGGAGTGTCGAAACGTTGGGTCTTGATTACAATTCGACTGGGCTTTGTAATCATTTATTTAAACCAGAGTAGCGAGCGAAACATGATAAAATAATCTAGTTGCATTACAGCTTGTACATTGTCCTTGTACAATGAAGTGACACAAAAATAACTTCATTTTAGGTCCTCTTCCAAACATGCCAACAGAAAGTCAGACTATACAGGTACAGTAGTGAATTTACAAGCCAGTATTTACCAGCAGTATTTATCTGTATTTACCATCCAGTATTTACCAGTAGGTAAATACTAGCCTAAAATGAACATGTTTTTTGATTGATTTGCTTAGACAAAGGTGATCATAATTTGTGACTTGTTCTTTGAAGTAATTGTTATCGTAGCTATCTTAAAACATCACAAAATCTTTGAAAGCTGTATTTGTAAAAAAAATTAGTCATGATGATAATTATCTTCAAACAAACCACAAAGACCATTTTGGTCCAAAATAGAAATTTGTTATCACAACACAAAAGGTGGTGACTGCAGCTAATTACACTTACGGTCTTAGGCCATCATAACTTAAGCTTGTATGAACTTATTTTGTGTAATTGCAGGTGAAATAGTTGGGACCATTACAAGCATTGCAGACTCATGGTTCTCATGGACTATATCAACCTTCCCTGTTATGTCCATTGTCCATAGAATTTAAATGAATAAATGTGCCATAGAATTTAAATGAATAAATGTAGTGCTAACCTCTGGCAATGCACATGCTCTAATTAGAAGATCTACTGACATCTGCCCAGGAAAATTTAAATGTACGTCGCACTGCAAAATTACAATTGATGGAATTGAGTACATTGTTTATGGAAAATAACAAAAGTAAGCGAGATTAGAGATGAGAGTGCAGCAGGTATGGCGAGACAAAGCATTGAAGAAGAGCAAATTGAAAGTGAAGTGCACACTGTTCCACTTAAAGTTTTTGGATCATGTCATTCAGGTGAAAGACAGAAAATATTAGAGGAAGCGTTCGAGTACCTAAATGAGTATAATAGGCCAGTCTATGTGCAGTTGGAAAAAGAACCAGACAATTTACATGATCCAAATGCAATTGCAACTTATGTGAAAACTGTTGATGCATTCCACAAGTTTGGTTATATTGCAAGCAGGGACGCTGGGGGGGCAGGAGGGGCAGCTGCCCCTCTTGCCTTTTGTTAGTAGGGGCAAGGGGGGCAGAAGTGCCCTTTAAGTTATAAAATACTACACCTGATAAATCACGTTTCCAGTGATGCTTTTTGCATGGGCAAAATCATGAGGTGTGATCTTGAATGTGACCTGATTAAGTGCGTTTGCTTTCATTGGCAAGTCAACACATAATTGTAGGTTTATATCTTCACCGAGGTTTACAGAGGTGCCCTTTGGTGTGTGTTTGCCCCCCTTGCCTTTTTATCGTTCCGGCGTCCCTGATTGCAAGTGAACTGACACAGTATATTAGCCCCCATATGAACGGCCCTAGCTTTGATGTGTCTATAAAATACATCAAACTACATACAACTTTTATGCGAATTGGATTTTATCACACAATTAACATATCCAAAAAAGGTTCATGGCATCCTAATGTGGTCAAAGCTAGCAAGTCTGCTATGTAAATGCATAAAATATACTGAATAGAACTGGTTTGATGCAACCCATCTTATTAAAAAATCAACATTTGTAAAGTAAATTAACTTGTCTGTTTTTAACGTGTTTATAAATATGAATGACTATATTCATTGTTATTTGTTATTTACAAATATGTGCATAAGGTTATGTACTGTGTGTACTGTGCACAGAACTGCCCACTTTCTGTAAGATGTCCGCTGACCACTCTCCTCCGCAGAGGCTTTGTAGTTTGTTTTCTTTCTATGAGAATGAGTTTGTTTTCTTTCTTTCTATAAGTTTGACTTGCGGGCAGTAGCGGGCTAGGTAGAGAAGTGGGCACACGGGGGGAGCAAGCGTGGGGTTAAAAGGGGGCATCATGGACATTTGGAGCCGCTACTGCTCGCAAGTCAAACTTATATAGAAAGAAAACAAACTACAAAGCCTCTGCGGAGGAGAGTGTCCGCTGGCAATACGAGCCCGCATGAGTGGGAGAAATTTTTCTAAATTTGACCAATGTGCTCACATATGTTTTGGCACTGGTGGCAAAGCCACTCAGGTGTGCCATCTTCTCATCTCTCAAAGCACCATGACATACCATAAAGCAAGTTCTTGCCCTCTTGCAATGTTTTCATGGCATTTAAACTTTTGTCCAGAAAATCTGCCTGCACAAATTGGTATAAAGCCATGCATGCCTCCAAGCTCAATAAAAAAAGCTTTTATAAATAGTTCAATAATTGTTCCTTTAATCTTTGGGACATGCTACACTTTTGAAGGCTGTGATGAGATTTTGGACAATATCACCAAGAGTACCTGGGTTATTTCCTGCTGAGCCCTTACATGGTGACTCTTTGAAAATTGGTGAGAGATTATCACTAAAATTGAACACAGCAGCAGGACTTGATGGCACAGGAATAGCTGAGCCAACAGAATCATGTACATAGTCAATTTCAAAATCTTTTTCTGCATCACTCAATGTACCACATTCTTCGCCAAGGTTTTTAGGACTCGGGTTCTACATGAACCTCCTAGAACAATTAAAATATTTTGCTTTAATTAATGAAATATAAGAATATATAAATGGCATTTAATTTATCAGTCAAATTTAATCACAACATTGTTGGGAGCTTGTTGTTTAAAGATGCAGTCAACTCAATTTCCATTTGTTGTTTACAAATGTTTCAGCCTGCAAATGTGTTCAGCCTGAAATTATATTATGAATTTAATCTGTTAAGTTACATTCCATCCTAATGTGCCCTTCTTTATTATTTTACTCTGATTTTACTTGTCAAGGAGGGGCACTGGCACTCAATGCTCGGTTAGTTGATTTAATTTAAATCAATAATAATAATATGATTCGAATACCATACCTGATCGTTGGGATTTACATGCATTTTTTACTGCTTGGGCATATCCTCTTTATCTTTGGTTGTTGGCCATTTGTCGTTCCAGGGATCTTTCCAATACAGACATATATACTGTATTTATTTATAAATAGCATACAAGTTTCTTGTTTAGTCCATGACACTGGATTTTCATTCCTGCTGGATACAGAACTTTGAGAAATTGTTTGGAAAAGGCTCTTCCTCGAACTACCTTCACGTAAAGCCAACTTTGGCTTCGCTGAACTGTCGCCAGTTGACAGCTCGAAGCGTCTCTCGCCTCTTGGTAGCCATTTTGTTTACGGTATCAATGTATCATTTACCTGTTAAAATGGGCATTATAAATTCAAAAATTGCAGACAAACCGTACGATGTGCGATGGGGTGCGATGTGATTTTTGGATAGTTTATGCTTTAAAAAACAAGTATACAAAGGAAATGCTATTGATTTCTAATCGTGTAAGGATATTCTGGCAATATAAAAACGCTACTCAAACACCACGTCGAAACATGCCAAATATGGGTTCAGTTCAATCGGCTATATCTTTCGACACAATCAAGTTTTCGTGAATGATTTTAGGCACACATTAACACCAAACACTCCTTTTCGATATAATAATACAAAACGTAATCAAAATGAGAGGAAATAAGAATAAAATAAATGCTAAACTTACCCATAACTGAAGGTGAATTAACATTCCTTCGCAAAATTTGTAAATTGTGCTCCCATACTGCTTTGCGGTCGTATTGCGCACACCGCCTGCATTGTATCCTTCGATTCATCAACTTGAACAGCTTTCATAATTGAAACATTTACATGATCCTTTAGTTTACTGATTTGGTCAATTATTAAAACATTAATGGTGAAATAACCATAACAAATTAATATTTATCTTGCATGTAAAACATTATTACTTTCAAGAAATTCTTAAAATTTCACTCCTGGCAAAAAATAAGCAGAGTCAGCATTTTTATTGGCTGCAAGCACGTTTACTTCCTGCAAACTACAAGATTTTTGAAGTTCCGGTATTGGTTTTCGCCAGGGCCTTCGGCAGCGCGGTGTCGGCCGTGTGGCCCTGGGACCGAGGATGTCTCCCTAGTAGATAACTCGCGGAAGCCTGGACGCGGATCAACGATGCGTCCGACTATCAATGAGGAGTCCGACTGTCCACGGAAAAACAATTTGCCACGGCGTAGCCGCCTGTCAGCCCAAGGCCTTGCGCGGGCGAGCGTGGTAATCTCCGATCGGGTATTAGTACCCATGTAGGCGATTAATAACGTCACGATAAAGTGACTTTAAAGTTAAATTTCAGTAGGTGTGATTATGTTTCACGGTCCATATACAAATGGAGCAATTGTTAAATATTTCGAGGAAAGTGAAACTAAAAGAAGAACGTGAAAACACTATAACAAGTCAAACAGCGGATTGATATTTTTTACGTCCGTTAGATTTATTTAGTGTTAATACAGAACCATAGCCAACTCTAATATTTTTTTATATATAGTTTGAAAGCTCTGCGAAAAGACGTTACGGCCAAGCTGGTTAGTTTAATTAGTTTTTCATTACTTTAAAATATCATGTATAGACAAACTGTAAACAATAGTCAAGGTAGGGAACACATATTACAATATAGACAATGAGCACTACTACTGAAGCAACCCGGTCTGAACAACAAACGACTGGCATTCATGCACAAGAGTCGACCAATGAAAAATTAAAAACTGAACATGCAGCTTTACAAATAAAATATGATGAGTGATCATCTAAATATGAAGAACATGCTGCGAATAGAACATGCACTTGCCGCTGACGCAAATTTTAAATTATATTCTACACAGGTTTTCAAAATTATGCAACATATAAAGTTTTCTTTGACTTTCCGCAACCGGCATGTAATTTCTTACCTTATGCTGGTTCGAGTAACAATGTAGAATACTCAGCAGATTTGAAAAAGCTGGAGCAAAAAGGTCAGTGTTGCCAGAGCAAGAGTTGTTTATGGTTCTGGTTCGCCTATGTTGTGGTCTTATGGGGGTTGACATTGCTCCCCGATTTGGCATTTCAGAAGCACGTTGGTTAGAGTTTCTCTATCACGAGTTAAGAGCCCTACACATCTGGGGATCATGTGATTATAGGCTATACAACAAACTATGCCACAGCCTTTCAAAGAAACCTACCAAAATAATTGTGTAATTATTGATTGTACAGAACTATATGTAATTATTGATTGTATAGAACGTATTGAAATGCCAACATCATTTAGAAGTCAGTCTGCATTTTTTGAAAATGGGCACTTTCAAAAGAGTGACAAGCTTCTCATTTACGTCATTCTTGTGATGTATGCATGCAATCAAGTGTGTCGATGTATAATGCTAAATCGTTTATAGAAACGCTGTTGACTCATAGTTTGTATAACTGCGTGTCGTACTATAATTAGGTTGAGTCTTTGGGAGTTTTAACGTAAGCACTGCATACACTGTATAATGGTCAATGATAAAACACCACTAGATTCAACCAACGATGTAGCAGATAAAATATGACGTCTATTATAGTGATGTACTGGTATTAGTTACTCGTGTTGGCGAGTTGATGATATTCGTTAAGTTAAGTTCAGTTGTGAACTTGCATTCTGGTCCGGGTTTAAGTATGTTACAATTTAGATCACCCAAGATAATAATAATAATTAACAATTATTCGCCGAAGGCGAGGTGATTATCGGGGAATATTCGCCGAGACGAAGTCGAGATGAATATTCCCCGATAATTACCGAGCCTGAGGCGAATAATTGTTTTAGTATTTTTACACAAGTCTTTTGTGTTATTTGGTGCTGAATTTATTTTAATTTCGCTTATTTCTTTATCAGTAAACTTCAATATAACAGGTGAATATAACAGCTTAATACGTCAAATTTGACCAATCAGGTTGTAGGATTTGTTATGTTCACTTGACAATGTTGATAGATAGATAGATAGATAGATAGATAGATAGATTTAATAAAATACTTCGCAGCCATAGGCTGAATTGCGTATTTTTTTTACAAGTAAATTTAACTAATTACGAGAATATAAAAAAAGAGTTTATCAAGCCATTATGATGACATTCCATATAAATATTATATATACAAGATGTTTATTACTTTAATATACTAAAAAATATTAAAAATATTAGGTCATTTCAATAGCATTAGATAAATGATTTGCGGCACGAAGCCACAAAAAAACTAGTTTGAAAACGATTAGTGTTACATCTAGGAATTTCAAATTTCCTATCGGTTCTTAAATCATAAAAAGAAGTATGTGTAGGTGGCAGTAAACTTCGTAACTTATGATTTTCATCAGCAACAACTGTTTGAAATAAACTAGTACAAATATTTTCATGATGAACAGACAGTGACTCCAGTCCACAACTAATTAAAGCGTCTTCGTAATTAGTGTTTGGACAGATGATTCTAATAGCTCTTTTTTGTAATCTTTCCAATTCGGAACGCAAGTATTTTGGCAACGAATAGTAAATGACAGGGATACCATAGTCGATAACAGATCGAATACATGTAACATAAAATAGAACCAGATCATTCCGAGGAATACCGGCCCGTTTGAGTTGGATCAGGTAATAGATTCGTTTGGATACTTTTTTAACTACCTCTTCGATATGTAGATTCCACGTCAGGTTATTATCGAATGACAAACCCAGAAGTTTAACGGATTTTACGACTCTAATACTTTTGTTGTTAATAAGTATCGGGTTAAAATCACGAGGGACTTTTGAGAAGGAAATACGGAGTTCCTTACATTTCTCTTCATTCAGCTTCATTTTATTGTTTTGGGACCATTGTGACATCTCATTAGCAATTGTCTGTGCTCTACTCTGTTGGTTTTTGTCAACTGTTTCCGATACTGTCGTATCGTCCACGTATTTCCATAAGTCAGTATTTGTGATAGATAAATCATTTATCAGGATTAAAAAGAGCCATGGACCTAAAATGGTGCCTTGAGGGACGCCCGAAGGTACTGCACCCCAATCTGAAAAACATCCTTGTGAAAGTTTGACTCTTTGGAATCTGTTACTTAAGAAATCAATAATCCAATTTATAACACTTCGTGGTAGATCTAACTGAAGTAGTTTATTGAACAAAATTCTGTGATCAATTAGATCAAAAGCTTTTTGGTAATCGAATAGAATGATTCTAGTTGTAGAACCGGTACCGTCAAGCCCGGAGGTCCAGTTATGCACCATACTAAGAAGAGCAAAAATCGTCGATGATTTAGGGATTGCTCCATACTGATTGGGGTCAATTTTCTTCAAAACAGCTGGTTTCACATAATCATTAACAACGAAATGCTCTGCAACCTTCGAAATATTAGGTGTTAAAGAAATGGGCCTAAGTTCTTTTTTCAGGTCCTGTACTATTTTTACTTTTGGCAGCGGTGAAACATTCGCAAGTTTCCATATTGCAGGTAGGCGTTGTTGTTTGTAGGATGCATTTAGGAGTAGACTAATTGGGAGGGCAAGGATTACAGCATACTCTCGCAAGAGCCAATTGGGCACTTCGTCAGGGCCACCACTTTTACTGGGGTTGAGTTTTTGTAGCTGTGATAAAACCCTTTCTTCAGAAACTTCTAAGAAATCTGGGTTTTCCTCTAAGTTAAGTCGCTCTAACGGTGAAGATAGTTGATATTCTGATAAGGGTTCAAGAAAAGCTGTATTTATTCTGTTTGCTAGTTCTTGTTCCGATATATCTTCAAAACCAGCGATATTTATCAAATTTATTAGGGAGCTGTTCATTGATTTCATTCCTCCTAGGCGTTTGATTTCACTCCACCAAGCTTTAGGGTTATCTTTTTCTTTACTGTGAACCTGGGTCGTATAGTATTTTGATTTACACGCTTTTCTCTCGCGATTGACAATATTTCGGTAATATTTAAAGCAGTTGGATTTTGGACCGTAACTGAAAAAGGCTTCTTGTCTTTTTTTTATAAATGTTTTCAATTTATCGGTCATCCAAGGAACATCTGCAGAGATTTTCTTAATCCGTTTAATTGGCATGAGGAGGTCAAGACCAATAGCTACAATGTCATAAATAAAATTCGCCATATCTTCACAGCTTTGTGATTGAGAAAAAATTTCAGGCCAAAGGATTGATTGTAAAAATCTCCCCATGGCATCTTTCTTACTCTGACGAAGGTCTCGTTTGTATACAAATGTAGATTTTGCTTTCTTCACAATGTGAGTGGGTGAAACATCGGGCGATGGATCAAATTTCACTCGTGTAGCGGAGCACAAAATACACGTCTGCTCTGTTCAATATGTTGTTCAATATCAATTGACAAACTTAAATAAACATTAGAAAATATGCCAAATTCTCTTTCAATCCTACATTGTAATATAAGAAGTTTACCAAAAAATTTAAACATTTTAGAAGATATCTTATACTCCCTGGAGTATACATCAAACGTACTAGGAATTACCGAAACAAAATTACATGGAGAAACATGTTCCAATGTAGATATAAGAAATTATAATTTCTTTCAGTGACTCAAAACCAAGGCAGGTGGTACGGCACTATAAACTTGAGATCTATACCTAGACCCGACATAAAATTTTAAATAGAAAAAGTTGAATCATGCTGGGCCCAGATTGATGCTGGCAAAAATAAAAAAGGGATAATCATATAGGCATCACAGGCTGCATTCTTATTATGCAAACCTTTTGTAAAGATATATAATGAATGAATATCAACCGGAATAGTTCCTGAAATATATTCAAAATTTCAAGAGTTACTCCTGTTTATAAAAGTGGCGTTACAACGGAATTGGGAACTCTATAGACCAATTGCAATTATTTCTCCTTTTAGTAAAGTATTAGATTTATAACCAAATTTTTGCCTTTCTCGGAAAAGAAAAGATACTTTTTGATTATCAGTTTGGTTTTAGAAAAGGACGTTCAACTGAACACGTAGCCTGCGTGGCAGGCCCTCAGTTTTACGGGGGCCTGATTTGCAACAGGCAGGATTTTGGCGGGCACGGGGGAGGATTGAGGGCTAGCCTGCATGGCAGGCGGTACGTAGGAAATACCGCCTGCCGCAAAACTGGGTGTAAATGAACTACCGCCCCTGAAGCATCAACGCTATTTATAGATGCATTAATTAAGTAAATATTCAAAACTAGCCACTCCCAAGCTGCTCCCAAGTCCCAACTGCCCAACATAAGGGGCGGACCATTTGACTTTTGATGGGGGGGGGAGGGGTGGAAGATTTCGAAAAAAAATTTCCTGCAACCCAAGGAGAAAGAAAAAAAAAATCATGCAGCACACAATCGAGAAAAAAAAATATCATGCAAAAGAGAGCGCTCAAAAAAAAATTTTCTACATGTAACTCTACTGATGCTCTTCACTTCAGTATTGTGTCCACAGGCTTGCAAGATTTTGCATTTTTGAGCAGGCACATTTGCTTAAAAGAACACGGGGTGAACAGTGGATAACAATTGACCAATAAAAATTCAGCTGCAATTGGGGAGAACCCTGAGCGAAAGAAATATCTTCGCTTGCATGTAAACATGTCAATCAAACATTAAACAATGTCGCGAACTGCTCCGGACGATTAAGTGGCAGTCCCGCTAAGAGCGGTCCGATGACTTAATAGATTTCCTTTATTTTTTGTGTGTTGAAAGGCATTGGTATACAAGTGTCCAAAATAAATTAATTTTTTGAAAATTCTTTTTTATGGCTTCGCTAGACGCCGAAACTCATTTTACCCGTGCGGAGCTAATTTCAAGCAAAATCGAAGGTTGAATTTCGGTAAATTGTAGAGCCGCGCTCTGTCAAAACGCCTGACTATTTCCAAATTTCAACTAGATCAACAAGTTAAGATATAATTCAGGTTCCCTGTTCCAAAAAATAAGAGCATTTGAATAAATTGTGAATAAACGATAGCGACTTGACGGCACACCGGTTTTTGCTTCTTGTTCGGTCTACAAAATTACACTAAAATCGAAGCCTAAAATTACGCTGAAATGTGCTTGGCTGTAATGATTTATACTTATTTTCAGAAGATCTGAAGAAAAACCTGCGGGTATCAATCTGTATTTGGCGCGAGTTAAGATTTTCTGGAGCCCATAATCAATGATTTTTGCATAATTTATAGCTAATTAACATATTTCTTGAGAGGCGCTAAAAGTAAACAATTTCTTTCTGACTAACATATCTCAGATGAAAGAGACTACCACAGCTGGTAATACCTTTTTGTAAATATAGTCGTAATGTTCTTTTCCTGACACGCTGAGAGAGCTTTGTTTTTGAATGTTATGCCACATTTATTCAGTCTGACCAGGTTCATAAATGTCACGAACTTGTATATTTCAAAAATATCAGTACCACAAATCAGAATTCAGAAAGACCGATTATTCTTTCCTTGATTCAGTTGATGGATTTAGTTGATTGATTTAAAAAACTATAAGTATAATAGAACATTCCATGTGTTTCCATTGCCCCTATATAGGGCTAGAATTTTTATCAATATGTTCTATTTTTCTGTGGCGACGGCATATTAACAAAATACGACACAAAAATGTACATTCGAATTTTATATGACCGACATATCAGAATGTTATTTATGAAGTTTGAATTGAATTTACTTAACGCGAAATAAATACTAAAATAGGAATTTTCTATGCTGGGTTAGTAAAAGAAAAAGCATAATTTTAATTGTATGTAATATCGATGAATACTATAAAAAAAATTATACACATTGTTTATATAAATTAGGTTAATTAGCTAACATTTACACATTTATTACGATAGTAGCGACGTTTGTTTTAGCCATGTAACAAAATAAACTATAAGCATTCTGATCAGTTATTTAACAAAAATATCAAACTTGTGTCTTGTGAATTTTAATTCACAAACTTTTGAAATTTATTCTCAGCTATGGAGCTCACGAATATATTTTTTTTCAAAGAAAAATACTGAAATTCGATTATTTATAAAATTGATATTTTTGTTAAAAATGTTAGCTAATTTATATAAACAATGCGTATAATTTTTTTTATAGTATTCATCGAAATTACATACAATTAAAATTATGCTTTTTCTTTTACTAACCCAGCATAGAAAATTCCTATTTTAGTATTTATTTCGCGTTAAGTAAATTCAATTCAAACTTCATAAATAACATTCTGATAGGTCGGTCATAAATTCGAATGTACATTTTTGTGTCGTATTTTGTTAATATGCCGTCGCCACAGAAAAATAGAACATATTGATAAAAATTCTAGGCCTATATAGGGGCAATGGAAACACGTGGAATGTTCTATTATACTTATAGTTTTTTAAATCAATCAACTAAATCAATCAACTGAATCAATGAAAGAATAATCGGTCTTTCTGAATCCTGATTTCTGGTATATTTTTGAAATCTACAAGTTCGTGACATTTATATGAATCTGGTCAGACTGAATAAATGTGGTATAACATTCAAAAACAAAGCTCTCTCAGCGTGTCAGGAAAAGAACATTACGACTATATTTACAAAAAGGGTATTACTAGCTGTGGTAGTTTCTTTCATCTGAGATATGTTAGTCAGAAAGAAATTGTTTACTTTTAGCGCCTCTCAAGAAATATGTTAATTAGCTATAAATTATGCAAAAATCATTGATTATGGGCTCCAGAAAATCTTAACTCGCGCCAAATACAGATTGATACCCGCAGGTTTTTCTTCAGATCTTCTGAAAATAAGTATAAATCATTACAGCCAAGCACATTTCAGCGTAATTTTAGGTCCCCATTTGGAGATCTCAGGCTTCGATTTTAGTGTAATTTTGTAGACCGAACAAGAAGCAAAAACCGGTGTGCCGTCAAGTCGCTGTCGTTTATTCACAATTTACTCAAATGCTCTTATTTTTTGGAACAGGGAACCTGAATTGTATCTTAACTTGTTGATCTAGTTGAAATTTGGAAATAGTCAGGCGTTTTGACACAGCGCGGCTCTACAATTTACCGAAATTCCACCTTCGATTTTGCTTTAAATTAGCTCTGCACGGGTGAAATGAGTTTCGCCGTCTAGCGAAGCCATAAAAAAGAATTTTCAAAAAATAAATTTATTTTGGACACTTGTATACCAATGCCTTTCAACACACAAAAAATAAAGGAAATCTATTTTCCGAAGTCAAAGTCATCGGTCCGCTCTTAGCGGGACTGCCACTTAAGGCAAGCTCTTGGATTTAGGGTTATCGTCGAGTATCGATTGGGGCAGCTAAGTATTACGCATACTGTTATGACCAGATTCCACCATGATGGAGAAGTGACACTATTGATGTTAACTGTAACATTAATCTGGAATCAATAACTGTGAAATCAGATGCACCCTTGTTTAGCGACATTACTGATGTACCCATCGAGCTCATTCTGTGGACCTCCATACCTGAAGTTAAGAACGGTAAATTCAGTGGAAACTATGTGAAGAAGGAAATTGTACTTGGCACTATTGACATAAGTAAACTCCCACATACGTACTTCAACGGAACCTATCTGAGTAATTGTGCATGGAAGTAGTGCATGATATGTCTTCAAAGGTAACAGTGAGTTTTACCTTGAGAGTCAGGCCGATGTCCTTGATGCGTTGGCTTGGTGTATTATCGTTAAACCGGAGCATATAATGCCCACTGGGAAAAGCATGGACATGTTCTTCTGTTGGTCGCTAAACTACGCAGGGTCAAGCGGAGGCTAGACTGGCCACAGCAAGATTACCGCAATTGACCGCAACATTAGAAAGGGGAGCAAGTGGACAACTGAAAATAACCTAATCATAAAAATCAAATGTAGAAGATGTAGGAAACAAAAAGTTGTTATTGAAATGTACCCGCCAAAAAATTGCGATCTGACACCAAAAAACGGTAACGGAAGGGATGTAGATGATAGAAAAATGAAAAGATGAAAAATGGCCGTGAAAGGCTTGACGGAGCTCCTAAATCCCGCCTCGTCTTATACTTTTAATAAAAAAAACAGTGTTTGAAGGGAGCTTTTGAGACATTTTTGGGGAAAAAAGTTTAAGAAAAGTTGATCTGAACTGATCCTGTAGAGGACCGATTAGGCTCCAATGAAGGGAACAAAAAATTGTAAAAATTGTTACCAAACAATATTCTAGATTTATTTGAAAGTACAACTTATAATCTTAGGGACTCTAAATTTCGTTGCCCTAGATTTAATGGGGTCAAATACGGCAAACATTCTTTAAGATACTTCCGTCCATATTTATGGAACAAACGTTTCCAGAATTAATTTTAAGAACTCTACCTTCTATTCAAAGCTTTAAGAACAACATCAGGAAAGCAGATTTAACCGACTTAGTTACAACCATTTCGTGTAAGAATTGTGCCATATGTATCATTTAGTACTATAATATTTATAAATAATCAGATTATGCATGAATAGGTAAATAGATAAATTAGCTAGTCGTAATTGTTTTATATTGTTGTAAATAGGATAATTTTATGTGTCCCCGATTAGTAAAGCTTGATTCTTTTGCGATAAGACATAGCACAACGTAAGGAAAGTAAGTAACGAAATACTTCGCCACAACACGAAAATAACGAAGTAAAACGTTCCAAGTAAATGCACTCCAGAAAAAGTTTACATTGTTACATGTTGATTTCTCAAAACTAGTACTCAAGTACAGCAACGAAGTACATTTACTTCGTTACTTGACACCATGCACTGGATCTTTGTACCCCAGGTGTCTGGAAACAACGGGAATCAATTCTACATGTCAAAATATTCAAAATAAATATTTCTCTTTTTTTGGGGGGTAAAATTTTCATTATAATTTCATTGAAATTGTCATTACATATATTGTTTCAAGTACTTTTTATTTGAAGCATTTAAGGAAATGTGTTTATGAAATTTGTTTAACTTTTCTAACTTTTTTCTGGTTTTTTTTTTTCCATTCATGCATGTAGGTTATGAATTCGGCTAGTTTTATTAAGAGTCAAAGACAGCTTTTAAACTTATTTTGAAAGTTTTAATAAGAGTCATATTTATTCCCGTTATCCTTTTTGGCTGCTCAATTTATACTTCATTTTCGGCCTACTGTTCCTTGTCTTCCAATTAACTTTGAATTTAAACACAACAGTCTATGGGCACGTTGCATTAAAACGCTCAAATTGTTGAATTGTACACAAAACGTTTGGGCTTAGGACCTATCTGACTTGAAAATTTAGATAACATTAGAATGAAGTCCATTTCCGCTAGATATTTGCGAAACAAAGATGTATTTTCCATTGATACAGAGTAAAGAATTCGCGTCTGACAGTTAGGCCATTAAATGAAAAGGGCCCTATAAATACACCCTTTCGATAATTAGCCTTTCTCACGCCGCCATTTTTGGGTGGCTTTTCAGCCGAAGTCTGCGAGATAAGTTCACATGACAGCGACTTTTTATAATTTTTTGGACGAAAGGTAAATGGTTAGTGTATTTTGAAAGTTGCTTTTCACATTGTTTTAATTGTCTGCATTGGTTAACGAGAATTAGATGCCACCCAAAAATGGCAGATATTCGTCATCGTGAGAAAGGCTAATGCCTCGCTCTCGGCGTAATCAGATTACGTGACTGTTACTTCCCACTTTTAAATACTATAAAGAGATTTAAACCGTGCAGATTTTTATTTCTAAATGTTCCAATAGTGTTGTAACGGGACAACTTTACTAAACGTAGTTTTCTGAGGAATGCACTTGCATGCTTTTTGCCATATAGTAAATTGTTATTATCACTTAATGAGTGTTAATTTTCTTATATTCAGGAGTCCTGATGGTGATAGTGTTCGTTTTACTGACCGAATATACGAGTGCGAGGCATCGAGCAAAACTCGGAATTTATTTGTTTAATTTCTGGTCGGCTGGATTGCTTCTTCTGGCTCTTCTGGCTTATCTTTTACCAAATTGGAGGGACCTGCTGCTTGCCAGTGCAGCAATGGGAACACCTTGTCTATGTTACTGGTGGTAAGTTAAACTAAATTTGCTAAAAGAGCAAGAAATTTCCTTAAGTTACCGTAATATATACTTGAATTTTTAATCAAATATAGCTTAATTCGAAGTAACTATATAGAGTTTATCAGAAAAAGTACACAGTTGGAAAAAGTTAACTAAAGTCAAATGCGCGCGACATTTGCGAAAACGTTCAGTAAGGCTATGTATTTTAACGTTCGTTGTCACGCACTAAAATTATTTAAAATGCTAGCGTTTTCCGAGTAGGAAAGCTGTTATTAAAATTCCGCCAAAAAAGGCCTTGCTCAAAAATATTTTTCATCGGAAACAAAATTTAATCACACAGAATCAAATTATGGACTATCTTCCACAAGCTATCAAAGTTTCAAGAAATTTTGTGACGCTTAGGCCAACGCGAGATCTTCAAAACCTGGATTTGCTCTCCTTCTGTTACTTCCAACTATATCATTAATTGTTCTTCCGGATGCAGTTAAGTTTGTGTCATCTGCGAAAAGTCTTGGCTTTGTCCTATTTAGACATCCAGATAAAATATTTATTTAAATTAGGAAAATAAAGGACCTAAAATGGAGCCTTGAGGAACACCAAATTGAAGTTTGTATTCAGACGTGTCAACACCATTTATACTTGGTATTTTTGGGTGCAATCAGTAAGATATGATCCCAACAATAAATATGCCTTATCCTTCATACCATAAATTTTTATCTTCTCAAGTAGACTTTGATTATCTATGTGAAATGCTTTGCTTTTTTATCTGTAACGACGTTTCACGTTTGTTGTTAATACTTGGGAATTTCACAATCAACGAACTGAAGTAAATGGTGAATAATATTGTAGTATACTTGCTTTACCTTTTTTGATGATGTTTCCTGAAGAACGTTACGAATTAATTATCTTCAACTGTTCAAGGGCAGTCTGTCGCTCCTTTTGGCTGTCGGTTGCCTTGAAACGAATTGCCGAATAACTCGTATAAGTCTATAGACTTCGTCCTCATTTCACCGGCTGGTGATTTCTTCGGTCTGAAGAATTTTGAACTCTGTGTGATGGAATCAGTTTACAACACTCGGACTGCTCTTTGTTTTTGCACTATATTTTTATTCTTTTGTAAATAATCAACTTTAAAATCGAACTAATTACATAGCTAAATTTATCAAGACATATTATACATAAATGAAAGGCTCCACAATATACTAACAATTCTTCGAGGATCAATACTGGTATTCTAGATGTAGCCTCTAATTTTCTTATGAATTTAAATACGTTTTTCGTTTAAACGTTTAGTTCTGACGTCAGTTCTTCCAAATACACTACCCCCAAAAAGGTCTTTTACTTCACTTCCTGCATACCAGTCCACGCCAAACTGCTTTTAATAATCAACTCAAACAAATCAATGCAGTATATTTCAACAATGCAGTGTATGTACGCCTGTATGCCTTAAACCAAAATAACACATGACATCCCAAAGACTATGTAACACTTCAGTAGTTTTGATTCAATTTATAGCCATTTGCTAAACAATAACCTATATTTTAATATATAGCTGAATATTCCGTCGTTTTCGTTGAGTAACTAATGCATCATATTTACGTTATTAAAAAATATAGATTTAATTCCTCTAACTAAACATAGTTTTCCAAAACGTACCACTGTCAATGATAGGCTATCGACAGTCGCGCGTTATCTGAAGAAGTGAAGATCTTCAGGTAAAAGCATTAGAACGATAGCCGGAAAACTGCGAATATACACCAGCCGAACGTTTAAGGGAATGCATGATTTTAGAAATACATTATCTCAACGATGTTAATTAATTTGAAGGCGAGAGTTGAAAAGAAACCGAGCAAGCAATACTACATACAAAATTACCATACTTATGTAAGCACAACACGCGTGTTTAAACGCGTGCTTCTTGTGGTGAATATCTCATTTCATATTCACCGGATATGATGCAAACACCGGAGGCTTATGAAACTGAAAATTGCGGCGGAGCCAAGTGGTGAGGGGGTTTTGCCCATGGGGGTGACATAGAGCATTTTCATGAACAGTGCTCGAATTGCCAATGTTTGTTCTCATGAAATAAAATGTCGTGAAAAGTGATTGCATGCCTGGCAGTGAGCCATGACTGCCAGGCATTTTTCTCCGGGAAACGAGAATTTATTCGAGGCCGGCAGAACAAATACTGGGCGGGAAGTAAGAAGTGGAAACGTAAAGTCGAAAAGCTATGCTTTGCATTTGACAGTTTTACTGCTGGTACACATGCAGCTATTTCAATTAAGGTTCTCCCCGAGCAAAGCGGAAAAGTCGAATATATACGAGCGCGAAAGGCTGCTGGGAATCGTTAAAAAAATCATTAATTTTTTAGCGATTCCCAGCAGCCTTTGGCGCTAGTATTCGACTTTTCCGCTTTCTTCGGGGTCAACCGTAATTGAAAAAGCTGTATATCCATGCATGTATTTCCTGAAAAAGTCTTTCAATGTTAAACTTTCTGGCGAGCAATTAGTTGCATAATACTGAGCATTGAAAGTATAACTTACGCAGTGAAAAGCGTGTTTTTCAATTTTCGTGAAATGGTTAATTTGTTACATGTGATACGTGAAATTTTTTTCACGTGGAAGGTTCTCCGAAAACCTCCCCCATTTCCTGACCTCTGGCCCTGTGTAATCGACTTTAAATCCAGCATTGTGATTAGTAATCCTCTTCTTCAAGGTTGACACCAGAGTCAATACGGTGGTTACTAGTGAGAGACAAATATGACGAGGCAATAAAATACCTGGCAAAAATTGCGAAGGTCAATAAGAAAGAATTGCCTGATGAAGAAGTCAAAAGACCTGATGTTGTAGAAGAAGGAAGCTTCCGTCATCTTTTTTTAAACCTGGAAACAACAAAGAAAAGTTTGATAGTCTTCGACATTTGGTAAGTTTATATTGCCCATGGAGAGATAGGGACAACTGGGGCAGGAATGCATGGATGCCGGAGAGTCGTAATGAGTAAGACCACTGTAAGTAGCGGAATAGGTGGGAAATGCAGAAATGGATCTTTTGAAGAAATTTTCCGTCAACTTTTCCCTTTTAGAATCTGTTTATATGGACGGGTTCTGTCTAGCAAAACGAGTTACTCGGCAACGGCGAGCTAGATTCTGGTGGCTATTATACAAATTTACTAGTTTTCCCGCGTGACTGTTTAGATGATGCAACTGGGCACTTCGCTTTGGTGAGATTCCGAAAGAAAGAGGCGGAATCTCGCGTAGGCGAGATGAATATTTTACGTCCAAATATTTTGACCGGCAAACTCAGCAACCCGAGATGATGTGCATGCCTAATTGCATTTGAAATACAATAGCTCAAAAATACAAATGAATCATTAGATAAGTTTTCCTGAATTTCTGAGTACAACGAATTCTTTTTTGTGTCGTGTGGGATTCGAATTCGCATTTTCTGGCTTCTAGACCGCCGCACTACCAATTGATCCACGTTGACTCGAACAGCTTTTGTTTTTTGCATTTACTCGACAAATTTATCTATAAATAGAAGATCTACGACGTTTTGCGAACATCAATTATAAGCGCAGACACCCCACTTAGTGTCAATCATATGTTCCCATGTGACCATAATTCTCCAGTTAGATACTTCGTTTGTCGGTTTAACGAGTCTTCCAAAATGCCAAAGCCATCGAGCAGGCGTTAATTTTCCAGCCCAAACGCAAATAAACACCTTGTCGTAGGTATACTTGAAGCGTACAACAATTGTCAGTTTGATTACGCTTTAAACGCATATGTTGCAATGACTAATGGAATTGAATCGCTTGAAGCATGATGCAACTGTTATTTTTCGTTACTCAACAAGTCATGTTTTATTTACTCGTTTCTATTAATAGCACTAATGAAGATCCGGGCTTACGGATCGAAAGCTATGCAGTAATAAATTTAAGCGGTGTTTCCACAAACAAAAACAATTATATAAGTTAATCTTGTTCACACAGTAATTCAAAGAAAACCAAAATTCATCTTTTGTCAGCTTCCCCCTGGTAATGACTCCATGCAGAGAACCACGTAAAGTAAAGGGATAATTTTTCGATGATTAAAAATTGTCCGATATAAATGCATAGCCACAGAATATTTTATTACCATAGTCATGCCAAATTTTGTCATGAATTACCCTTTGTCATGAATACAGAAATTTTGTCATGAATAATTAGTTTGATTGCAACTGCAATATCAAAACATTCTTATTTGCACTATAAAATAACACATATCACCTACTCTGGGGGGGGGGGAAGGGGGGGCAACAAAAACATTTTCCAGACATTGTATTCTTATTTTCTTCTGGTTAACGTACCATCATTCATAAAATTTTCTTATATTTTTTCGTAAATTTTACAAACTTTTGGATCTAAATATTAGGTTTTAATCAGTGTAACTCATACATATTAGTTTCTTTCCTTCTTATCAAATTCAAGTATTGCCGACTACGAATACAATTTCCCGACTGCGATACAGTAGCTTGCCGAATGCCTGATGATTTGGGGGTGTGTGTACCACCCCCACACCCCTTCTAGCAACGCCCTTGAATGCCATAATGCTAGCATCCTCGATTAATTGTTATTATTAAATATCTCTAACCTTGAATGTCACTATTTAGTACAGTAGTTAATTATTGGCAGTAATCAGCATGCAAGACAAGTACATTTCCGGCCATTGATGAGAAATATTTTCCATAATTAGAGTAAAATGACAAAATAAGGCACACTAAAGAGCATTGTGGGTTAATAACCTAATGATTATTAACAACAGATAGGTAGACATGTAGATGGACTGGTTATAACCCATTCTAACACCAAGTCCAATACTTTCACCTTGACAAGAAAAATTGCTGCGTTGAACAGGTTAAAATAAGGAAGTAGGGCAAACTGAGGAACATTGCAGCTTAATGAGATAATTTTAAAACATGTACATTACATGTAATTCTAAACTTGCTCCAACTCTATTTTTCCAGACACAAAATTTGATTACAATTCAATTATTTAACAAGTGCTGTTGCATCCTTGACATATTAAACTGCTGGCAAACAATGAAACATATTTGGAAAGCTATGGGGGCAGTTAGAAAATATAATAAGGATTGGTTTATAAACTTTTAATTTCTAGAGGTCTCACAATTAACACAATATAAAAATGGAATTCACTATATTCGTATCTCTAATTAACTGTTTTAATAAGTCTAAAATTCTCTTATTCCTCTGATTTACAAATCCTCTGAAATCTTTAATATTATCAGGGTTTATAACCGACTTAATATTAGATTTGAGTCTCTTTTCAGGTATATTTACAGAATTTACTATATAGCAACATACAGTACATTGTCATTGTTTTGGTCCTTCAATTGGCCTTACCACGCGCTCTTTCAACCATTAGAAACATAAGTGGAGCGTCAAACGGCTAAATTATGATCGAGGAACTACAAATGTCTCTACATTTAAAGCTCTTTTACATTGCCACAGCAGTGAAGGATAAGATACAATTAATTGTCACATTTTTCTTCGACAACAGTACCCTTCACGGCTCCTGCCGGCTCTATACTGACCCTGTCTCACACGTAATATTGTGCTAATTCACTCGCTAATACACCTCTTGTGTCCCACAATGAAGAATATCAACATATTTTTCACCAAAACCCGAAAACATAATAATTTATAGACGAAACAATAAAATATTTTAAACAATTTGTTTTGCTTTCAATAACGCATGCGCAGTTCGGTCAACATCTATTTTTTTGTACGGTTTGGTTCGGATTATCTCAAAGCTTTCGTTTCCTTCCCAAGGGTCACAGGCTCCGGGAAAGAGATTGCAATTTAAGGTTTCACACAGTCACGCCATGTCCCGTACGTACATCACAGCATCATTATACTGTTTTAGGGCAACTGTGGGTTTGGTGTACTATGGTGTATCCTATAGTTCAGTTGATCTTGGTTGGAATCCATATGTGGCGTTTGCATTGACTGGTGCTATTGAATTTCCTTCAAATTTTGGTACGGTCTGGGCGGCAGATAGGTACATGTGTTAAATGTTTATTTTCATGAATACTTAATTAAGTACTTTTTCGGCTTCAACCGCATCGTGTCGTAGCGTAGAAAAAAATACGCTATGCTTCGCTACGACACAGTTGAAGGGGGAACGGCCTTAGCTTAGCATCAATTGATTGAAAGTTTTGTAGTGTATAGCTAAATTTGACTGCCTGCTATAGTATGGCCACATTTTAAAACAAACCCAGTGAAACCAAAATTTTAACCTGATTTTCTCGCCTTAATTTGTGGCTGGGGACAATAAGCCAAGTCGAGAGTTTCAATTGCGCATCGATTTAAATGATGCATTCTGCTTCGGGATTATTTGAACTTGAATCTCTACACGCAACCGAGACTGGAAGATTAGGGTCTGGCTATTAGAAAATTGTGGGGGGGGGGGGCACAGAACAAAATTGGCGTATATGAAAATGTTATTACACCGCCCCTCCCTCACTACGTTTCTTATGATCCGTTCCTTCAAATATACATCTCAAACAGGGTTTGTAGATTGGCCTTTTTGAGGCCAAGTAACCAGATTTTGGCTTTTATAATTTTTGTTTGGCCTCCCAAAAGGTTTGATCATTTGGCTTCTTTTTGGCCTTTTCACAGTTTACAAGATTTTGTGAATTTACTATTCTGAAATAAAACAATGATTTTTGCATGTTGATCCTATTTTTGCTTCTATTCATTGTCACAAATAACATGGTTCCAATTCTAGGCAACATGAAGTCCAGCCAATTAAACAGCTGATAAAGTTCAACCCATTTGGCTCTGAGCAGGCGCAAGAATCTACCAACCCTGAAATCAAAGTAATATTTAGGGGCCGGCTGTATAAAGACGTAGTTAGAGGTAGCTGCAGATAGCGCTAACTTCCGTAGTTAAATCTTTAACTGTAGTTAGTTAGTTAGTTAACATAGCTACCGAATTGGGGCCGCTACAACTGCAGCTTCAGCTAATTTGCCTGCATGGCTCATTAAAACTCTAGGACGATGGTCTTCCGATTGCTAGGAACAATACATTCGTATTCCATCCTTTATCCTGTCAAAGGTATCTGCCACCATGACTGCATCATTTAATTAAAAAAAAAAGAAAAAAAAGGGGAAGGGCGTTTTCGTCTATGGAGAACACTCTATCGTGTGTTTTGGGGGAAGAAGTATTCCAATATGTCAACTTCATTTCCCATAGACTCTAGTAACGTCACATATAAATATATATTTCAAATAATAGGGACTGTCTACGCGGTTCTGTGGACCTTAGACAGGTTAGGGACTGCCCAAGCGGGCAGGTTATGGACTGTCCAAGTGTGCTCTTGGTCAGATACGTCAGGGGGTCGCTACTCCTGACTAGCATTATCAGTTCAGTACAGTATTAGGTATGTGACGATGAGGAGGGATGTCGTTTGGCATAAACACTGAGTACTTCCCCCCAAAACACCCCTTCTCCCACAAAACCAAAACGTGTGTTTTTATTGTGTTAATTATAGTTTATATTCAATGATTCATGCAATCTTTGGATCATTAATGCCAATGTAAAATGTTTAAATTCAGTTAATGAGACAACATGTTGAAAGCAAGTGTTTTGCAAGCTTATCCTCATTGACACATGCATGACAATGGTACAAGTCGACATTTCCGTGTGTTGTTGGTGGGTCAAAGGTTATTTTCTTGAAGCAGCACTGTGTTGACGTGAATATTAATAAGAAACGCTTTTAGCCAATGAAAAGCTTTTACGTATCCCAACTAAAACCAACAGCCAATCGCAAAGCAAGTAGGAGCATAAGTTACGCATCACGCGTAATTTTTTGGCATTATTTGCTTAAAGCTTTTGAAGGACTTACATTAGAGCTCCATGTTACAAAGTTTAAATCCCACCCACCCCATCTTACTTGCACTTTGGTTACTGCGTTTGCTTCCAACACTTTGTCCACATTGTTGTTGGTAAAAGGATCTCATTATAATTAGTATATTATAAGGAAACAATGGCTTCCTGCTGTAAAACTTTCCAAAATGAAACGTGGTTAAATTCAAACGAAACGTGGTTAAATTCAAACGTTGTTTCCAATCTTGTTTGTCCTGTTGGCTTTACAATAATTAGGAAAGATCGTAATGACTCGAGAGTGGGCGGTGGTGTTGCTATATTTTGTAGAAATGATTGGAAGTTTAAGATTTATGACTCTGGGACTGATTTCGAATGCTTGGTGTAGCGTTTCTGCAGAAAATTTAGAATATTACATTGCTGCTGTTTATAATCCACCTGATCCTGCTTACAATGAAACTGATTTAATTGACTGTTTGGTAGATACATGTGAAAGGATTATGTCTTCAGATCCAAATTCGAGAATTATAATTGGTGGTGACATAAATAAACTTAATGTAACTGAACTTATGACTCATCATTCATTGCAACAAATGGTAAAATCACCAACAAGAGGCGAACGAATTTTAGATGTATTTCTTACCAATTACCCTTTATTATGGAGAAAACCTATTGTGTCCAACAGTTTGGTTCGTTCTGATCATCGAGGTGTACTTATTCCACCTCGTATTACTACTAAGCCTGTGAGGAAAAATGTGATCTTTCGGGACGTGCGCGAGCACAGAAAGGTGCAAATGGACAAGAAGTTACAAGACTTGGAATGGGATATGTCTTTTGATTGTCAAAATCCATCTGAAAATGTTCAAAAGCTTAATGACATTTTATTTAATATGTTTGATGAGTGCTTTCCTTTGATCTCAATCAAAATGTCGTCACGTGACCCCCCTTACATAACTCCGCTAGTCAAACATCTATGCAAAAAAAGGAATAAGAATATAGATAATGACAGTCATGAAAATGCTATTCTTCAAGAACGAATTAACAAACTTATTCGTACAAATCAATTAAATGCCGTCCGTTGCGAGAATAGGAAATATAAGAAAGGATCTAAAACATGGTGGGATACAGCTAACAGGATATCAGGTAGAAATAAACAAGACATTCAAATCAGTGCTATTGTCAATGCAGAAGTGATTAATGACTATTTTAAAGAGATCAATACTGATCCTAATTATATTACTCCTGAACGTTTACAAATTCCTGATACAGTTGAGGAATTGACTGATACAGTTGAGGGATTGAATTCCTGATACAGTTGAGGGATTGAATTGAGATCGACTTAGTAAAACATGTACTGTCACGTCTAAAATGCACATCATTTGGCCCCGATTGTTTGCCATTTTTGTTTTGGAGAGACTATGCCAACTATTTAGCTCCTGTTGTTACCCATATCTTTAACACCTCCATAAGAGAGCAGATAGTCCCATCTCTATGGAAGTTAGCGAATGTCGTTCCTATTCCTAAAGAGTCTCCTCTTGAGGAAGTGAAATAGCTCAGGCCTATATCATTAACAAACATTATAATGAGAGTATTCGAAAGAGTTGTCTTCAAGCAAGAATTATCTGTTCCCTTGAGCTTGGAAATAGGAGCTGACCAATTTGCCTACAAACGGGATCAAAATTGCACTATGGCATTAATTAAGTGCTACCACAATTGGTTAGAGTGGCTGAATGGCGATGCTGATTTTGTTCGGGTCTTTACCTTTGATTTTAAAAAGGCCTTTGATTATGTCTCACATTACATTTTATCTGAGAAACTTAAAGCACTGAAAGTAAATCCCTACATCATCAATTGGATTATCGATTTTCTTTCAGATAGAAGACAAAGAGTTACGGTGGATGGGATAACTACAGAATACGTAAATATTAACAGAGGTGTTCCACAAGGATCAGTTCTTGGTCTTGTGCTATTCAGTGTAATGGTTAATGATATTGGTACTATTTATGAGGAGAAGAGTTTGATAACTAAGTTCGCAGATGACTTGACTCTGAGTGTCCCGGTTAAAGCAAATGGGTTCGATCCTTCATCTGATGAGATTGCTAATATTCAGAAATGGTCGTTTGAAAACAGCATGTCCTTAAACTTAGAAAAAACCTGGGAAATGGTAGTACGAGGGAAAACCAACAAATCCCTTTCTTTACCGATATCAGGAATTGAAAGAAAGAATGAATTATACTGTTTGGTGTAACTTTGAATGAAAATCCATGCAACTGGGACACACACATAGACTCCTTGCTTCAAAAAGCTGGTTCACGTATGTACATTCTGAGAGTCTGCAAATTTTATGGTTTCCCAATGAAAGATCTAGAAATGCTATTCAACAGTCTTGTAGTTTCATTTTTCTTCTACGCTATTGAAGTGTGGTGGAGCATTTCAAAGTAAATATCTAAGTCGAATAGATAATTTTTTTAAACGAGCAGTACGCTATGGATAGACGACAAAAGCCTTGACTATTAATGACATAATTAACGATAGTGACATGAAATTATGGAAATCTATCACAGATAATTCGAACTATTGCCTATATGACTTGCTTCCACCAGAAAGAACAAGGCAATTGCGAAACCGTGGACATAATTACATTTTACCACGTATACGCACTGAGCGTTTTAAGAGTAGTTTTATAAACAGGTGTCTTTTTAAATTTATTTAAAATTGTATCATATGTATATACTATATAAGAGTCGGTCAATGTTGTAAACTCGCACGTTTTGTTGCGCAGTATGACTTTAAATAAAGACTTCTATCTATCTATCTATCTATCTATCTATCTATCTATCTATCTATCTATCTATCTATCTATCTATCTATCTATCTATCTATCTATAAAATCTGTAAAAGTGCCTATGCACACAAGTTTTTATAATATGGTAAATAAATTTTTTAAAAAAAATGTTATTGTTATGGTTGGTCCTCGCTGGTAATAAAAGCTTTCCAAAGTGAAAGACTATCAGAGGTGCAAAAGTGCCTATGGACACAAGTTTTACAATATGGTAAATAATATAAATTGTTATGGTTCCTTTACTGGTAATAAATAAATAAACATTGGGTTCCGGGGAAGAAGTATTCCAATATGTCAACTTCATTTCCCATAGACTCTAGTTACGTCACATATAAATATATATTTCAAACAATAGGGACTGTCTAAGCGGTCCTGTGGACCTTAGACAGGTTAGGGACTGCCCAAGCGGGCAGGTTAGGGACTGTCCAAGTGTTCTCTTGGTCAGATACGTCAGGGGGTCGCTACTCCTGACTAGCATTATCAGTTCAGTACAGTATTAGGTATGTGACGATGAGGAGGGATGTCGTTTGGCATAAACACTGAGTACTTCCCACCAAAACACCCCTTCTCCCACAAAACCAAAACGTGTGTTTTTATTGTGTTAATTATAGTTTATATTCAATGATTCAATCTTTGGATCATTAACTGCATGACTTAACTAACTGCATTGTACAAAACGCAGTTAGTAGGATAGTTGAATAATCCCGTTTATTTAACACAAAATTACATAAAATAAGGATGATTACGACCGCTGACGGCAGTTTTAACACAATTATCATATATACACGTATTTTGCAAACGGGGGGAATTTGATTCAAAATAGTGAAAAATAAACAAGAAAACAACGCGCAAATCACTAGGCGGTTTTTCGGTGAGGTATCTGCGTTCATCCAAAGTGTAGCTGTTTAATTTTGAATTGTATATCAGTGTTTCTTCGTAATGGGTCCTACTTTGTCTTCGACAAATCTTCCTTATAAATATTATATTCTGTTTTCACAAAAAAGCAATATTGGTTGAAGAGTTTTTTATTGTCAGAAAACATTCACAGGGAAGATGACGATTGAAAATGCTGGTGGGCGTTGCTTTCCTTTATTGTTTTATTGAAAAATGTTGCCAGTTTACTATACAACCCTTTCGAGAAGCTAAAAGAAATTATAAAAAATAGAGTGGGCATTGTGGGCAAAATCGAGGGACAAATTAAAGCTTCCTAATAGGGGCAAATATTGCTCTATGACTGGCTAAAGTCTCGTTGGCCGGATGTAAATTCTAATTCCCAGATACTAAGTCGCGATGCTAAAAAGGAACGAGAAGTTACGAACAAATACAACTTCGAAAACGTTGATTTTTTCCAAGTCCAAGAAAGCACAAAAAGCTCAAAGTCAAAAAGAATATCTGAACTACGGTATACAAATGTTTTAAAGGGCTTTTTAGATATTGAAGGATGATGTTTTTTGTGACTTCTGCACGTCCAAATTTTTATCATTTTCTTCGATATAAAATGGAGACTCCTCAATTTTTCGTTAATAATTAATGTAAAACAGTCACGACTGTTTATGAAACTAGAATTGATCACTTGAATTCTAGCCAAATGTAAAAAAAAGTTTATTACCTCCCATTATAGCAAGCTTCAATTTGTTCCCTTCGTTTGTCTGAAATTTTGCTGCAATGTCCACACAATTCTTTTTAGTATACACTCAAACAAGGACTATTACAAATCCAGCATTCTGATTGGCTACTCAACCATGAACCATGCATTATGTGGCGGGCCATGATTGAGAAAAAAGATGGCGGAAAATTTTGGTTTGCAAAGTATTATATATATTTTCTTATTTTTTTATATTTGCAAAGTATCATAAAAAAGAAAAATATGACCTGAAGACGTTTAGTGGTAGAAAGCAAAATTTAAACCGTATTTTAATAATAAATCTGGAGTTATCTCCCACAAAATGTGATACGAAGACAGGCGAAATTGCGGAGCACATTCTTTGTGCACATTACAATTAAGCAAAACCTGTGATATTTCAGCGGCTTGCATTTATTCAAACAATTCTGGTGCTTTAATTTTTTTTGTCTTAAAATTATACGGCAAAGTATAGTTAAGATTCACTTACATCCTATATAATTGCCGTACTATGTGATCATCAGACTCGTGGATATAGGACTAAGTATTTAAGCTGTAGTGTAAATTATTTTTCAGTTTCTTGTTTTTATGGTTGTTCTCGAGATATTTCAATTTGTTTGATATGTAAATGAGTGTGAATATGTCCGCTAATTTATGATGTCACGTTGGTTGCAAGCTCAACTTACACTGGTTATAAATCTATTAACTCTAAAAACTGTAGATATCTGTTCCCATTTTTCTACAGTGTTTCATCACATTTGCCAGTGAGTGAATTTTGAAATTATCATCTTGGATGATAGCAGTGATATTCAACCATTTTGAAGAGCTTGCAACCAACATGACGTCATAAATCAGCGGACATATTCACACTTATCACATATCAAACAAAATGAAATATCTCGGGAACAAACAATAAAAACAAGAAACTGAAAAGTAAGTTACACTACAGCTTAAAAAGTTCTTTCATTTAAGAATTTTCATGTCATATGCACTTTAATTACTTCATATTTCTTTGTGTGATGTTACTCTGAGTGTATATCCACACCAGGCAGGCTTGAAAAATATGCCTGGCCACGGCGGGATTCGAACCTACGACCTTTGGAATACTAGCCCAATGCTCTTCCAACTGAGCTACGCGGTCAGGACGGTTCGAGTATGCGATATTTCGGAACTGAGTCTAGTTCCTTCGATATCAGTGTAATCTAATAATCATGTAATCTGCTGTGTTGGTGTAATGTGCTCAGGTGAATAAGATGTTTGTGTGATGTTACTCTGAGTGTATATCCACACCGGGCAGGCTTGAAAAATATGCCTGGCCACGGCGGGATTCGAACCTACGACCTTTGGAATACTAGCCCAATGCTCTTCCAACTGAGCTACGCGGTCAGGACGGTTCTACCTGAGTACATTACACCAATACAGCAGATTACATGATTATTAGATTACACTGATATCGAAGGAACTAGATTCAGTTCCGAAATATCGCATACTCGAACCGTCCTGACCGCGTAGCTCAGTTGGAAGAGCATTGGGCTAGTATTCCAAAGGTCGTAGGTTCGAATCCCGCCGTGGCCAGGCATATTTTTCAAGCCTGCCCGGTGTGGATACACACTCAGAGTAACATCACACAAACATCTTATTCACCTGAGTACATTACACCAACACATCAGATTACATGATTATTAGATTACACTGATATCGAAGGAACTAGGCTCAGTTCCGAAATATCGCATACTCGAACCGTCCTGACCGCGTAGCTGAGTTGGAAGAGCATTGGGCTAGTATTCCAAAGGTCGTAGGTTCGAATCCCGCCGTGGCCAGGCATATTTTTCAAGCCTTCCCGATGTGGATATACACTCAGAGTAACATCACACAAACATCTTATTCACCTGAGTACATTACACCAACACAGCAGATTACTTCATATTTATTATACGTAAACAAACAACGAAGATTAATTTTACATAATTGATCGCGGCAGAACACCCAGAAATTCTGAATGTTATGTGACTACTTTCAGACCACAATTCTTGATATCACCATTCATGATCCATTATTATATGCATAATAATTATTAAAGCAAGGTTATTAATTCATTTTCGTATTACATCTAGGTATGGTCGAAAGAAGACAACAGCACTTAATTTAATTTGTGCTTGTGTTGCCGCAGTTGCTGTTGTCATGATTCCTTCTGACCAAAGTAAAAAAGGTATACATTCAATGGTGCGAGTAACTTCGTTACAGAGGCGTAGGAAACATGATATTGAAAAGGGCCCTTTTTTGTGATGAAAGTGACCTTTTTATACAAGCTAATGTCTCTGTAAATACTAAATTAACATCAATTCGTTTGGAAATTTCGATGTTTTTAAGAAATATTTTGGTCTAAAACGTGCAATTTCGGACCCTCGCCCGTCGTCAACATTTCCAGGAAAAAATTTTTCGGTGCACTTTTGGTCCTTTGAAAAAATTTGGGAGGTGGTACGTGGCCCCTGCACTTCGAAAAGCAAAACTTTTTTTGATAAAACCAGGGGTACAGAATAGATACCAGACCAGAAGGGACACTCCTATGTGTTTTGGCCCAAGGAAAACGTCCGAAATTTTTTACGTGCTATGACGCCATCCTGGAGTGCACACGGCACTTAACTTTGTACCTATGTTTGTCCTATGAAAAACTTCCGTGTGCACTCCAGGATGGCCGGCGTCATATGATGGCGTATTTTCACGTCAGCACTCGTAAAATTTCGGACAAAATATCGTCTGAGTGACACTTCTGGTCCTGTATCTATTTTGTGCCAGGGGAGGGGGGTAAAATTGTAGCGGGCTCAGAATTGAGCCTGGTCAGCGGTAATTCCATGAGCCGGAGGAACCAGTTGTTATGGAAATGGCATCATATGGCGCAAAAATCCGCCATGTTTTTGCGGGCACTTTTTTTACCGAGCACTTCATCCAGTAATATTATAGGCCAGTGACCCACACACGCACCATTGAACTATGAGTAACTGGAAGGCTAAGTCAGGGGGGCGGGGAGTTGAAGCCGTGCTTGAAGCTTTTTTTGCAGGTAGACCCAGTCCTTTTCAATTTTTTTTTTCAAAATATGCACATTTTTTGATCATGCAGAAAAATCTTGCCCCAAAATATTAGATATATCACCAAATTTAATTTATATCAGTGATATGATAAACGAATTTAATATTCGCAAGGCGAACAAATCACGAATTAACAAAAAAATACGAAAAAACACGACCATAAGCATGAACGGTCAGAAAAACCGCACGTTTTAGGTATAGAAATATTAGACCTAGAATGCATGCTTGGTCACGTGACCGGTATCCAAATTGAAAACAAAAATGCCCTTATAAATCCGCCATGTTGAATTTGAGCAGGAGTGCAAACTACTGTAAAGTATAAACAAAGCTAAACCTAAGTTTTCATCGTCAAAACGTTTTGTCTTGCTGTCTAATTTGTAGTTTGGGGATAGATTTAAATTGAAATTGAAACATTAAGTCATTTAAAGGCTCAAAGCAAATATGCAGTTACTGACAAAAACGGTAAAAATCGTGAAGCCTTGAATTAGTTGCAAAAACAAAGTAGTTTGGTGTATTAAAATATAATTTACTCATAAACATTTTTACCTGCTCTGAACGTATCTGCTTTGCTAATATTTTATTAAATTACGAAATGATAGTTCATTGTTCGTCGGGTTTCATTTTTCCTAAATCTAAACGAAGTGTTTTCATGTTTTTGAAACAAAAATATTAGTTGTCGATAAACTGTATATCGCCGCCTAAATAATCGTTGAAAACTATGGTTTAAAAGCGTTGCTTCAAGCTCAAGGCAACGTATAAAAATATAAAAAGTAGTTGTGTAAGTTTAAAAGATTCCTAAACTCCATTTATATTATAAAACCGAGCTGAAATATTTTTAGACCATACCTATTAAGTTTGAGTTTGTCTTGAATTTTCGTGTTTTGACATTTGTTTTCGCTTGCACAACAACGTTGAAAATGTATTTTCAAACGCGACGATTTCTGTGTATATTCTGTTCAGAACTATTGCTTTTCGTAAAAAAAACCCACGAGAATAAAGGAATACCGAATGGTTTTCCGTGCAGGATTGCGTGATCCATGCACGAGGGATGTCGCGAGACTTTCGGAAAGCGTAAAAATACTCGAGCCGCAGGCGAGTGTATTTTTACGCTTTCCGAAAGTCGAGCAACATCCCATGTGCATGGATCACGCTATCCTGCTTGGAAAACCATTTGGTAATTGTTTCATAAAATAACTACAGTGAAACAATAACATTTTGAGAATCCCGCGAAAATCCCGCGAAGGCATTTTAATTCCTCGTGCAGGATAGCCTTATCCTGCACGGCTATTGACCAATCAAATTGCGTGTTTCACTGTAGTTATTATATAATGGGTTTTTCTCCTTTAAAAATTCTTTTTTCCACTTCCAGTCTCGATATAATTGTTTTTGCAAACTTAATGGTTGAAAATAAACAATTCGCACTCCTGCAACTGCGCGAATTTCCGTGCCGCAGGAGTCTGGGACTAGCCAAAATGCCCATATAAATCCGCCATTTAGTGGAGACAAAATTTTACTGAGAAGAGACAGGAGCACGCATTCTATGTCTATTATTTCTATGGTTTTAGGCTGCTTTTTCTGAGTTTTTGAAAGTTTAAGTTAAAACTACGACATACCTCAGGAATTATTTAAACCCATGCAAATACATCTGTATGCGAAGTTTCAAGAAGATTGAACGTTTTAAGGTTGGAAAAAAAATAATTTAAAAATTGACAAAATTATTGGGGTCTCTGTAAAGAACGGAAACTGAAACGACCGAATCCGGAAACGACCGAAACTGGAAACGACTGAAACTGGAAATTCCCGCCTAATTTCCTGCATAAAATGTCCTAAAATTTAGCCTGCTAGCAGGCTCACCGGTAGAAAGGTGAGCCTGCACTGAACCATGCGTTTTATTCATTCATCCCTTATAATAAACAAAGACTGTCAACTATCAAATTGACGCAGGGCGTGAAATGTACAACGACGAAATGTATAAAACAAGTGTGTAAACTCCAAAGACCGATAACATTTTCATATTTATCAATGTTTCGACTATATTTCAATCATCAGGATAAAGAAATGTATATAACTGTATAACAATAACACGAAGCATTAGCAAGACACACAATATATTAAATATAGGCTGCAGATAATACATTACGAGTTATTAAATCAATACACATACAAATTAAAAGTCGAATAAAATACTACCATTGAATGCAATAATACTTGTACTACTTGTGATTGAAAGAACAATGTTCTGAATATTTGAAGCTATTAAAATGCAGTCAGATGAATCGGGATTTGGAATACGTCTAAATGAGCATGTATTTAATTTTTTCAAAATCAAGAGCGTGCCATTTTAGTGGAAGCCGTATCGTATGTCAAATGAGAATGTGAATGCAATATCGTTTTTATTAAATTAAACAAAACCGGCATGAATTGGCATTGTTCAGAAAGTTAATAAGATGCAGTAAGATTATTAAATAATTTTAATTTTCAAAATTGTCAACAGTTAAATAGTACACAACCTTACTAACGGACGATATTTATCTAAATGTTATGCCAGCGTCGAGCATGCATCAACAAATACAACAATATAATTATTCGTTATGCGGGATATTTAGGCGGGAATTTCTGGTTTCGGTCGTTTCCGGTTTCGGTCGTTTCCGGATTTGGTCGTTTCGGTTTCCGTTCTTTACAGAGACCTAAAATATTGCCATATTCAAAGTGCTCATAGTGGCCAACAAGAAGAGCGATGACGAAAATAACATCACTTGAAAAACGCTAAAACAAAGACTAAAAGCTCATGCAGGGTCAATAACAATACCTGGGGTTTAGTACAACATAAGTTTTGGGACTGTCAAAATGTTTTATAGTATTTTTTTTGAGTTGAAGAGCGAGGTTTCCTTCGGCACGTCCAAACTTTCGTCATTTTTTAAAAATACAAAGCAAAACTCCTCACTTTTTGCTGTAGAGAGATGTAAAACAGTCGAAACTAATCGGAAAACCTGGTTTGAATCTCAATTATTGTAGTATTCCCATGGAAAAAGTGTTTTTCTTGCAAATTTTTGCTCGAAAACAAACTAGTCCGTTTGCTGTGACCTCGAAAAGTGCCGCCAGAAAACGATTTTCATTAAGCATGTCTTGGAACTGAAATATTTTTATGGGAACTAACACTTTCGAACACGCTGAGTTCAAATCCGAAAACTTCCCGGACCGTAGACACACAGTTTTCTCACAAACTGCTATTTTATCTTCGCTAATTTCACAACAAATTTTTTCATTGTTCAACGACACGGATGGATGAAGACACACGACTGCATAACTCAAAATGACTAATTCCTATGAACCAGTCTCTACATTCAACAAAAGACCGGTTTTGCTCGAATTATTTAAGTTATGTAATTTTAAGCGTGTTGGACGTAAACAACATATATTGTCTACAACTTTGGGAAGGTATCGATATCGCTTTGTAAAATCCTCAGTTCTGACTGTATCTCTATAAAATCACAAGGACGTCAATGTTAAGTCGTTGGGCTATATCTCTGGGATGAGAAATAATTCCTTACATGCGATCAAAATGTTTTATACAACGATGTAAAACGGTAATCTTATGGAATTGGTCACCATTTCCAACACAGTTTCTGAGATGTAATTCAAGAGGTAACTTATCATTTATTCTGTGCGATAAGCGAATATTATTGGAAAGAGGGCTGCTATATACGTTGAAATCACCAAATAAACAGCTTATGCACACATTTCTCCACTTCGTCGTAAGTTTACAGAGCAAATTTTATGCCTTAGCACTGGTCTTTGTCTTTGATATGAACATTTATTCCCTTAGTTTAAGGTTATTTAAGATTCATCCTGTCGTAAATCTTCTACCAGCAACCAACCGACAATATTCCACTTTTGCACTGTCTTTGCCGTTACGTTGGCTTCACATTACTTTTGTTTCAAATTCCTTGATCGCGTTAAATTAGTTATTTTTCAGGCCAGTGATATAGCGAAAAGACTTAGCATTAACGTCCTTGTGATTTTACAGAGATATCACTAGAACTGAGGATTTTAGAAGGCGTTATCTGTACCTTAAAAAAACTCATTAATAATTCGTGAAGAAAACACAAAGAAAAATCGTAAGCGTGTCGTCGTATCTGCATATGTGATACAGATTCATGTTGATTTACATTAACTTTAACTTTGATTTTCTCGGCTTAGACAACGTTTATTTTTAAAATTACTTCGCCAATGAACTCATAAGAACTCATATCCGATACAACACGGCCGCTCATGTTGTAAATAGTACTTCTCAACGTTGTAGACAAGATAGGCAAGATATGTTGTTTACGTGCAACACGCATACGATTACATAACTCAAAATAATCGGGCAAAACCGCTCTTTGTTAAAAGGAAGACTGGTTAATAGAAATTGGTCGATTTGAGTGATATAATCGTGTGGCGTCGTCGATCCGTGTCGTTGAACAATGAAAACATTTGTTGTGAAATTAGCGAAGATAAAAGAGCATTTTGCAATTGTGAGAAAACTGCGGCTTTACCGCGCGGAAAGTTTTCGGATTCGAACTCAGCGTGCTTGAAAGTGTTAGTTCCCGTAAAAATATTTCAGTTCCAAGACATGCTTAATGAAAGTGAACGATACAAGGACGCAGCAAACGGCCTAAACTTTTGACCGATTTCTTTTCACTCCTCGAAACTCTCCTTAGTCTTTTTGAAAGCTGATTTTCCCGCGCGCCGACCCCAACGAATCATTGACTTTCATCATAGGAGTTAGCCTTCCAGTTATTTATTGTTCAATGACACGCACCCACAACTCGATAGCATAGTGTCTAGCCTTACGCGCAGATACAAAAACGAAACCCGACGAAGTAAGAACTATCATTTTGTAATCTTATGAGATATTAGCAAAACAATTACGTTCTAACCCAAAAAATATGAGGTACAACAATTAAAAAGTATGAATTACAGGTGAAATGGACGTAATATTGAAATATACGTGAAATTTTCTGGAATATTGTGTAAAAAATTAGGTTAACTCTCAAAATGTTTTTGCCCTTGTTTTGGTGAATTAAGGTTCCGGAGAAATTATTTGCCCTTGTTTTGGTGAATTAAAGTTCCGGAAAAATATTTCGGAAACGAAATATTAATTACTGATTGCCCTTACGTCAACATTGCCCCACTGTGCCCTACCCTCGCTCCGGTGTCCCTGGGGGACATCCATCCATAACAACTGTATCTAAGATTTTTCTACATATATTGTATAAAATTGTCTCTGAACTTTTTCTGGAAAGTCTAAAAACTCAGAAAAACCATAAATTTTCGCGCGGTTTTTTGCCGAGTTTCGTTTTGGTCGTGTCATATATTTTGGCAGTTAAACATTATTTTCATATTTTATGTGCCTTAGATAAAAGTTGTGTTGTCTAAGTGTGCTCTAGGATAAAAATAAATGCCTTGAAAGAAGTATAAAAGTAAGAAAATATTAACGATTTTTAAGCTGTCTTTTTCGCATCCATTTTGTAAAGAAGGACTGGCGCTACCTGCAGAAAACACTCATGGCCGGCTTCAAAGATGGCGGCCAACTTGTCGTTCCAGTTTACTTATAGTTCAATGGTTTGCACTCCTGGCCAAAATTCAAAATGGCGCATTCAAAAGGGCACGCACGGTGAAAATGTGGAGACAGGATTCGTCATCAGCGCGCATTCTATGTCTATTATTCCTATGGTAGAAACGTACACAAAAAACTGTCTATTAAAGCAGTTTTGATTTTCCAAATACTTCCTGAGCTGCAACCTGTTAAAAAATTCGATTTGAAGCTAGTGCCAGTCTTTGTACTAAATCTATTTTGTGCGATTTCAAAACTGATTAACTAAAAAACAACTTGGCAAATAAAATCTGCTTTAATGTTCTATAGACAGTTTTTAGTGAATTTTCCAACCATACAACTTATTTTTTCTGTGAGCTAACTTGAGATTTTAACACTTTCTACCGGTAATAGAAATATATATTCAAATACCAGAAATTCAAAATTTTTAGCTATCAGCGTTGATTAATTTCACAGATGCCTCCATATCTGATATTCATACTTGTGTCAAAGACTACACGTGCTGTCAATATGGTGCTTTCTTCGCTAACTGCATAATGAACCTTACTGATCATTCTCCTTTACCCAATGGCCTCGTTTCCATGTTAACTTATTTTAGCATGTCAGGGGCAGATGAATATTATATTCCCATGTTTTCCAAGACGAATTTGTTTCTTCCTGTTCTTAGGCTCAATAACAAAGTAATTTTTAACACCACTAAGCACAAAACATGAGTAAGTATTTGACATGAAAACGAGGCCATTGGGTGAAAGAGAATAATTGGTAAATGTCTATTATTGCAAAATTATGCGCCCCACTAAAACAGACGATCGCGAGGTTATACTCGTTCCAGTACCACAGCGTGATAGGAACATATATTTCTTTCTTCAGCATCAGTGAATACAATCTTTCGAATTATAATGGCAGTATTTGCAAAGTTCTTTATCACCAACGCTTACGCGTCTTCGTATGTATGGGCGGCAGAGTTGTTCCCAACATTCATAAGGTTAGTAATATTAGTGAAAGTAAAAATTTAGACGTTATGCAAAAATAATCTCAGAATATTGAAATGACGGGGGTATCTCATTCCCTGTTTTTGTGTTGTCTCATACTAAATGACTTCTTTGTGATTTCACTATCAGGAGTATGGCGTTAAGCTTTGGCTCAGTGGCGACAATAGTGGGCTCAATTTGTGCAAGTTATGTAATTTGGTTGGTTAGTATATAATGTCATTCTACTTTGATACTTGAAATACTAACATTTAAATTAGAATAATTCGACATGAACATTGTTTTTTGAAACATGCTCTTGTTTTAGCTATATTATAAATAACTCATTGACTGAGCTTGTTCGCTCCGGACATTAGGAAATTAATCTCGTTCTTTTTTCCTTCGTATTTCGGCCTCGGTCCATGTATACGTTATTCCCTGGTGCATAGTCTGCAGGAAATTTTTAACTTCAGACTTTGTTCTCAGGAAGAAAATTATTTTCCAGCCCTGTTTGATCATTTTGGTGTATCCAATAAGGTATCATTCATTATTTATGACCGGGGTGGACTGGCAAAAGGGGGGAGCGGTCATGAGGTAATTTTGAACGAAAGGGGGGGCACCAAAAATATTTGTTCAGAAAGGGGTCTAGTTATTTTATTATAGTGGGGGGAAATTTGACATGTAACGATTATTGTTACTGCAGGGAGCGAGTAAGGCAGCAAATGTAATTCAGGTAGTTGGCAAAATTCTCAATTTTAATCAACAGATCCAGACCGCCCTTTTCTCCCGAAACTTAGTATGACAGTGCTAATCAATCACAAAAAGCTTTATTATCATGATTGCACTTCAGAATTTAGTTTTTAACATTGAAGTTCAAATAAGGTAAAATCCTTCGACCACCTCCCCCAACTTTAGATGCTTTGCTACGTCCCTGGCTATATACACTAGTATATACTAAGTATTTTATACATGGTTTAATTTAGTAATGTGTGCTATAATAGAGAATATACCTTGTGGTGTAGAAAATACACTGAAACTGGATTCTAATTTTTAAGTCAGAATTTTTTATCAAAATTCTTCTGGCCAGACTAAAGTCGGTTCTGATTAAATAGGCACATTAATTATTGAAGGCACAAGTAAATGTAATATGATGCCTGGCCATGTGTCTATAGCCGTGCTTACACTACTAAGCCTGGCCTAGGCCTACCTTTGGACTATCTTTATGTAGTGTAAACGTACTTCGGCCTGGCCTAGGTCAGGAATCTCGGCCTATCAGAACAGGTGTTCCAAATTTCCTTACCTAGGCCAGGCCGAAGTGCGTTTACACTACAAAATCTAGTCCAAAGGTAGGCCCAGGCCAGGCTTAGGCTCGTAGTGTAAATACGGCTTTAACATCGTGGTGGTTGTGGTGGTGGTGGCGGTGGCGGTGGCGGTGGCGGTGGTGGTGGTGGTTGTGGTGGGTGGGGTTACTATTTTTTTAGAATTCATGTGAAGAAGTCATTGTGATGCATTTTTTTGTGATGCTGTGGCAGGACATTTTGTTTCATTATTTAAATTGTGCCGGCCTACCCCCGGTAATAAATACTGAATGGTCCCTAAAGAATTTTGCAAATGTTTAGAATCTGATCCACAATCATTTGCCATTTCAAACTAAATGTTGGACCTACAGTATCAACTTTTTAAAAGCAAACTTTCAAACATTTGACAACAATATTCGTTTTCACTTTCAGATAAGGATTCATCCGATGCTTCCATATGGAATCATGGCATTCTTCTGTTTACAGTCTTCTTTCGTCGCCATGTTCCTGCCCGAGACAAACGGCCAGCCCACTCTGGAGACTATCCTAGATATGAAACCGAAATCAGTACCGACATTGAACGAAAATGGACAAGATGATTGCATTCAGGAGGAAAAACTTGAACTAGTTTCTTTCTAAACAATATATTGTCACGGCTATCACTCTTTTCAAGGTTTACTGGTATATATCTAGCTGGTGATGGTAAAAGATGGCTGAATACCATGCACCATTTTCTTTTTTCTGCATTCCGACTAATTCGCTTTCAATAGAAGTAAACGAAAATCGGAATAGTTTATGTCAGTGTAGGTAGCGACTGCAACGGCTGCGGATTGAGAGAAATACAGGAGAACTTCGATGTTTTCAGCGAAGGCCATTCGTCTCTACTTCGAAGTTCTGAATGTATTTTTCAGGTAGCTGTTACCTTATTATTAACTTTCAGCCCCACCCAAGAAATATTACTGACATATTGTAGGTGGACTGTATTATTATGCTTATAGTACTCATTTTCTGTCCGATCGGATAGTAAGGTTTTCGTTTGCTGATTTGAATAGAATTCTTAACCAAGCATAACGTAATTAGGAATTCTATTCAAGTAATTTTGCATGCGTAATTAAGATATTTGATGAAAACACTAATGACTTTCATCAAGTTTCACAGGGTTATCCAAATGGCATCTTGTGATCAAATAGGTGATTATCATTGGCTGAATTGCTCATGAGTTATTGATGAATTTGAGAAGTCCTTATATAAAATGTCTAAAATGGGCAACAATGAAAAATATATATATGGAATTAAAACCGGCAGACGGTTTTTCTACGCAGGCTATATCTTGGATGATGTTTTATCATTCGAAGTGGCTAAAGGGATATTAGAGGATTGTTATAGGATTTTATAAGGGTAATTAGGGTTAGGGTTATAAGGACATTTAGGGTTATTTTTGGGTTAGGGCTATTTGTGGATATTTTCATATCAAAACTCTTGCTTAATGGCAAGCAAGAATCGAATAACTTTCTTGCTCGATTGAATTTAATATTCCATGGACGAATATAATTTAAATACAATTTAGTCCTGAAAGTCTTTCCTAACTTGATATGTTGGTTACAAAAGTTAATGGTGCGTTTCATACTGATGTGTATTTAAAACCTATTGATGCACATCAATATTTGAATTTTTGAAATCTTGCCATTCGCCCCACATCAAGCGAGGATACAGTATTAATGGTTTGCAATGAATCCCTTAATTTTAATTAAGATTGATTAAAGGAATACCGAATGGTTTCCGTGCAGGATTGCGCGTGATCCATGCACGAGGGATGTCGCGAGACTTTCGGAAAGCGTAAAAATACTCCAGCCGCAGGCGAGGGTATTTTTACGCTTTCCGAAAGTCGGGCAACATCCCAAGTGCATGGATCATGCTATCCTGCTTGGAAAACCATTTGGTAATTGTTTTATAAAATAACTACAGTGAAGCAATGACATTTTGAGAATCCCGTGAAGGCATTTTGATTCCTCGTGCAGGATAGCCTGATCCTGCACGGCTATTGAGCAATCAAATTGCGTGTTTCACTGTAGTTATTATATAAAAGAGCGTTCATGTTGGAGGACCACACACACCAAATACTAATGATATTCTTTTGTTGGCGTTCCTCCAAGAATGGCGAACCTTTGAGACTAAAGCGGATTTGTAGTAAGAAAAATAATTTAGAGAAAAGATTGGGAGAGCTTAAAGGTCTTTTAGTTAAACGAGGATATGACGGTGATTTTGTAGCTGATCAATTTAGCAGGGTGTTAGCAGGGATTTAGGATTTATCTCTATCAGTCTTTGTGTGACATAAGCAAGCATTGTCAGACACCTCATTCTATATTTGTTTCATATATAATTTGTATTCGCATTTGCTGTAGTTTATCGTATATTTGTATTAATATATTCTGTAATGTAATTTACATTTTTTGTTTATACCTTGTTTTGACTAAATCCATCTGATTGGTTTATTTTTTTGTCATGTGATCGCCTTTAAATTCACTAGTATGTATAAAAGCTTCTATTTCGCGATCCATCCTACTAACTTCCGACAAAAGGTCTTCGCACGAAACATCGAAGTTCTGCTTGTATTTTTTAGGTTGTTGTATCTTATCCACAGCTGTACTTTATAAAACAAGACATTAAATGAAAGAATCGCCATGGTTTATTGCAGTTTAACCATTGATTAATGTAAGCGGTCCAATGAGTTAATTTGCTTTTTAACCCTTTAATGGGCTGTTTATATCAGCTGGGCTGGCATGCACGAGCTTTCTCGTTCCTTTCGCATATAATCTAAAGGCTCTTTTCCACTCATCGCAAAATCAGCTCACAGCGAGCTCGTCGCAGCTCAATTTTCACACTTCATCATCTCGCATGACTAATTTACGTTTTTGCAAAATGGCTGCCGGTTTATCGGCGCCTTATGCTCTTACCTTATTTAAGACGACGTAGGAGAAGACGTCTCAAGTATATAAAACGTTAAAATGATAAATAAATAAGATAAACATGATAAATATAATTTTTAAATGATATTTTTAACGAATTCCGTTGGCTACTGGTCTTCTTTGTTCGCGCGATCAGTAAATATTGTTCAAATTATTTAACTTCGCTGCGAGTGTTTGCAAGCTCCCTGCAAGTTGTTTTTGCGATCAGTAGAAATGAGCTTTAAGCCTGGTTCACATATACCTGCGCGGTATCTCGGCGGGCTATTGTCGTTAGCAATTCAACCAAATCATACACAAAAGAATGTATGCATCAACAGCTGTAAACAATGATAGCGCAGGCATATGTGAACCGGGCTTAACTTTGGCTTCGAATACCAGTCTTGCGGAAAATAATGTTGAACGAAATAGTCGGTTAATAAAGGTTATATAACAAATGAAGCCTACTTGCAGGGAGGTGAGTCCGGGATTGGACGCACCGAGGGTGGCTGGAAGTTTCCCGAACTTACCGAGCGAAGCGAGGTGAGTTCGGGAAACTTCCAGCCACCCGAGGTGCATCCAATCTCGGACTCACCGAACCTGGAAGAACGTTTTGTTCTTATCCCATACACCGAGCCATACACACATTTGTAGCTCTTCGCGATATATTCGTCGATGTTGTGTGAACATTTTCCCGCCAAAAAAATAACTGGGCAAGAAAATACTTCTTTATCTACGTCTACATGACTTTACTGCATTTTTTCTTTGGTTTTTCTTCAGTCTCAGTATGTTAGTCACCGAAAAAAGTTCTTTAAAGTTTAGGTTTATCGGCTAAATCTTGTCCGCCATATTTCTTATTGTTATTGCAACGTAAGCAGTTTAGCGGGGGAGTTCGGGCGAAAAGCAGGTGAGTTCGGCAAAAAGCAGGTGAGCCCGACGACAAACTCACCTGCTCGGAACCAATCAGAAAGCCGCTTTTAACACAGGTATGGGATAAGGTTCAAAATCTCCTTGAAGTTAATATTCAAATATTTTGTTGCGACCTGGTTAATGGTTTGCCAGGCTAACCCGGCACATATAAATAGCCTCTGCATTCTAATACGCCATCTTTGTTATTATGCTCTGTAACACTATGCAGCTGAAAGCGAAAACTTCGAACATATTCACGTTACGAGCACGTCAAGCAGACGAATAACAGCCTACCTGCTGTATATTCCCAACTGTTAAATGCATGCAGTATGCTGGAAATGGGGTCTGTACGGTTTGAGGTGTGCAATAGGGATTTTGTGTAAATGATACTGGTAAGCATCCAGGTTTCTATACGGTAATTGTCATTGTCTGCGGGAAAAACCTTGGCCCATGCATGGTCCTTGAAAATCCTGAAAAGTCCTCAAATTGCGGTCTTGGAATGCCCTGAAAATTGATAAAGTTCTTTGAAAATCCTTGACAGTTGAACTGTGTTGATAATATAAATAACAGTAAAACGTAGAGTACAAATCAGAGAGGCCGGTTGTTCAAAGTTGGATTAGCGCTAAGCCTCTGTTAAAATTTAACCCGCTGTTTTAGTTTGTGTATTTCTGCACGTCCTATTATTTTAAAACTTCAGACAAGTAAATTCTTAATGATCCAGACAAGATTTCTGAAGAATCATTTCCAAATTGGTAAATAAGCTACCAGGAAGTTTGCTTTGAATTTTAGGTTAATCCCAGGTAATTTTTTACTAATAGTTGTACATGTCCAGTGAAATAATTATTTAAATTGCACCTTCACTAGGTGGGAATTCTGTATCAACATTTCGTGTATGGCTACTGATGTACTAGTCGGCAATCTACAGTATTTGATAAAAACAAAGCTTTATAATTTTATTCAAATTATTCGAAGCAATTTTCTTCGACATCACTCTTATCAAATTGGTCAATCCAAATCACAGGAATCGATAAAAGTAATCGTCAACAATAATTATGATATTATTTCATGTAAAAATAAAATTTAGTTTCAATTTCTTCTTCAGTTTCAATAATTCATTGTTTTCATTGCGTCGTAAAATCTTCGGCGCCAGCCCTTTTCTATATATTTGAACTTCTCCTTAGTTGTTCCTTAAGTAACGTTTAAAGGAATTTACACTTTTCCGTAAGTGAGCTTTTAGGAAATAGATTAAAGGCGTCTTTTGAGCTGCTGAGTCATATAACTCGTAAAATCCCGTAACGGTTCCACAACATATACACTGATACCCACCAACATTTGCACTGATTTATCAGTATCAATTTATATTCATGCTGATGCTAAGTATACTAACCTCGATATTCAAATCCTCGTGTTTGCATTAAAACCCACAAAGCAAGCTATATTGAATTTGATCAAACTGTCAAGATCTCAGCGAGTCAATCTGCGTAACAACAAGTGAGGATTTTCCAAAGGGATGTCTGTGTTTCCATTTTCCCTTGCAAATTATTCCTTGGTTTCCTTGTTCCCCACAGAGATTTCCCTACTTGCAATTGTTCCCTACTATAGAGCGTTTGCACCAGTGAACTGTAATAATACTAGAACGCTAACTGCAGATAAACATGCCCATACTTGCCTGAAGCCAAGATGGTGCCTCTCGCGAGCTCAGCGAGCAATAAATTAACTTTCAAAAGGACTGGGGAGAGTTTCGAGGAGCCTGAAATTCAGTCAAAAGTTTGTTTTTGAGCGAAAATCAGCAAGAAAAAAGACTTTTTTATCAAGCGTCTTCAACTTTAAAGATTCAAACCTGGTTTCCTGGATAGTTCTAAGTATTTTACATCCAAGTGGAGGAGCAGAATCAGATCATCGGAATATTACACACGGAGTTCCTCAGGGGTCTGTCCTAGGCCCAACATTGTTTAATATTCATATTAATGGTATTCTCAATGTTTGTCAAAAGAGTAATGGGTCACTGTATGCTGATGACACTGAACTTTATGCTACCTCGAAAGATATTAACATAGCCGAGCAATGTGTCAATGAAGACCTTAAACATATTGATTCTTGGCTTGATCAGTACGGTCTGATAAGTAATCATAAGAAGACGGAAGTCATGGATATAGGATCCAGATATTCAGTGGCTAACGCGCGTGATTTACATGTTAAATTAAACGGGGAAATATTGAAACAGTCAGATCATTTTAGGTACCTCGGTGTCGACATTGATAGCTGTTTGACATGGAAAAAACATGTATCGAATTTATCAGCGTGAATGTACCCTAAGCTCAAAATACTGAACCGAATATCGGCATTCCTTAGCTGTAAGACGTTATTAAGGATATATAAACAAACCATTTTACCAGTACTAGATTACGGCTGTATGGTTTGGGTAGAATGCGGAAAGGGGAATTCGCAGCGGTTAGAGCGTCTGCAGAATCAAGCGATGCGTATTATACTATCAGCAAATCGCAAAACGTGCACGCAAGAAATGCGCACTAAACTGGGCTTATTGTCATTAAGCAGCAGAAGGCGCTTTCTTCTTTTGCAATTAGTATATAAAAATATATACAACATTGACTGTCCACAACAACTAATTGGTTATTTTATTAGAAGATCAGAAACGCACAATAGATCCCTGAGAGACACCACGTTGTTGTGCGTAATTCCAACCAAATCGAAAATGGGCGAGTCGTCATTTCAATGTTCGGCCGCGAAAGAATGGAACGCCTTGCCAAAACACTTACGAGACTTAAAGACTTTGTCCTCTTTTAAAAACAATATTTTTAAGTTTTTCTTAGAAACTGATGCTCACGAACATCGTTGTAGCTTATAGTAACTCTTAGCACTAAATATATATATATATTTTTAAACATTTTTTATATCTATTTTAGTATTGCATGTGGTGTGGTTTTGTTTTAGATAATATATAGTATTATGGATGTAAACTATTTATATATTAAAGCTGGTCATCGGTTTATACCAGCTGATATTTTGTTAGCTGATCGGTTTTTACCAGTTTAAATAAAGAAGTTATTATTATTATTATTATTATCCACTAACAGCAAAAATTTCCTGGGTAACAGCTTGATATTCAAAATATTACACAAGTTTGAACGTGCCGAAAAAACGTCGCACTTTGACTCCTGAAAAAAGAACTTTATAAGTGCTCTACGTTCTGGAAACATATTTTGCATCAAATTTCAGTTATTGTTGACAGTTTTTAGCTTTTTTCCTTGTTGAAATACAGCTATTTAGTGGTCGAAAACGGACATCTTTTAGGCGGCGTATTTTCCACTTCATACCTATATGGCGGCCATCATGAGTGGCTTCAAAAATGGCTGCTAAGTTATCGTTCAGTTCTCTTAGAGTTCACTGGTTTGCACTCATTCCCCAGGGATCAACTCAACAAAAGCCATTGCGGCCATGTTAGTGTCCAGGCTAGAGAGTCTAATTAAATAATTAGTTTGAATTGGATCACCAACATGGTGGCTGTGACGTCATGTGCAAATGCTCTATTTTTGGTCAACCACGTTCCCCGAACCTGCCATCTTTTCTGGAGGCTGTCGAGGCTATGGAAAATCGGGCTCTGTTTGGTTGTATTTTATATATAATTGTTCGTATATACCCATTTCTTCTACACTGATTCCGTGCATATTATTATTCAAACTTCGAGTCTATTTGAACCCACAGAAGCGTAAAAACATGATGTATTGAAAAACGAGACCTTAGTAAGTAACTCTATTCTTTTTAATTACGTACAATATTTTCTACTTCTGGGAATTTAAAATAAGAGCAAGACTGCATACAAAATTGACAAATTAATAATTAGTCGTATCATGATTCTATTCTTTTTACACACATCTGCGGGTTCAGCATAGTAATATGGCATTCAAATTCCTACAAAGGGTTGATTTCAAAAGGTACACTTTTTTGACACCATGTATACTTACACTAATAATACATTCAGATACTAACATATTACAGTTACGAAAGAAAAACTAAAATGATAAGAATTACATGCTGGGAAAGTTTAATTCAGTCGCTATTCCATTATTCCATCCTAGCATCTTTATATATTGCTCATTCGAGTTTTTTTTCCACTTTATAACTGAAGGCGTAGGATTAATTTTATGCTTAGAAAAACTCATAACATTTGAATGCTCCAGTGCATGTGCAATGCTTTTGAAGAGTTTTCGTCACATATTAAGCTCTAGTTTGAAAAATTCTGCGCTCTTAATTACAATATTTTGCAAATCAAATCCATAAAGAATGTATTTGGAACGAGTGTCGTGTGATTAACGAGTTCATATTAATATTATACTAATCTAAAATTTATTTAGTAATATATAGTAATCTGTTCGCAATAATTCTTCATACAAGAAAAGAAAGAAATTATTGTGAATTAATTACATGGCAAGCATCACTTTCGGTGAAATGTCAGACTGTGATTGACTGAGAAGCACAATCAGCGGTCCATTACTAAAAACAAACGCATGTATTTTAAAACAACAGCAAAACTAATGGAAAATTTGAAAATTATAATTTAATACAATGTCTGCCAGAATTGCCCTACCAAAACCAATGATGCCCTGCAGCGCCAGCGCTAATACAATACATCACTAAGCTACGTGTATAATTGAACTGCCGATGCCAATGTACATGCATACGAACTGCTTATTGTTTGCTAGCTGTAATAAGTTACTTAATAACTCTGCATTATATCATTTAAAATCTTGATTGCCCTGCCAATCGGGATGATTCATATATTAGGACGGTGCCCCCGCATACCCCTCAAGTTTCGCCCATGTCGGTATGTACAGAGAAATATCGGACCTCGACCTTTTTGCAAAACTTCGCCCTAAAAGACCTTGGTCCGATATTTTTTTGTAAAGACCTCACGCTCGGTTAATAAGAAGTTATTATTATATGGCAAGCATCATTTCCGGTGAAATGGAGGATTGTGATTGGCTCAGAAGTACTTTCAGCGGTCATTATCTTCCGGTAATGGTCGGCGGTCCATTACGTAAAAACAAACTTATGTATTTTGAAACAACCGCAAAACTAATTGAAAATTTGAAAATTTAATTTATTATTAATATAAAGATGTCTGCGAATGGTTTTAAGAAGAGGAAGGGATATATTGACCAAATGTGTACCAATGCACGCTACTAATGTGCATTTCAAATCATGCATTTCTTGTTTGTTTCGAGTATAAGTGCCTATAAACGGCATATAGTAAACTTTTTATTAACCTCGCTTGCTCGGTAGTACAGAGAAATTTTGGACCTCGGTCTTTTTGTACAAAAGCAAGCTGAGATAAAATCGTGTAAGGAGTCCTATTACAAAAATAAAGTACATAATATGAAAGACTATATGATGTATCTTAAGCCTGGCGCACACGATGCGATTTTAGTCGGCCGATAAAAATTGTTTGACATACCGATATACATCGGTATACTCCGCACACGATTACGAAAAAAATACGCTTCCTGAACTGTAGCCGCCATGTTGCCAAATAAATACAAGCACGTGATCACAGCATGAAATCTGATTGGTTATACTTAAAATTCCACCGATAAAAATCGTATAATATCAAAACGTTTTGATGTTGTACTATTAAAATCGAGCAACAAAAATCGGTTAAAAATGACACCGCACACACAACGATTTTGTTAGTTTTAGTCAAACGATTTTATCGGCCGACTAAAATCGCATCGTGTTCGCCAGGCTTTACAAAATGTTGTCGAAACAATCAGAATAGAGATGAAAACCCTGAAAAACCAGCTCACAAAATTTCAAAATGCTACGAAATCGGCAATTAAAAATCTCAGGGAAGCGTCTATTAACATATCTGACGAAGATGAGAACGAGGATAGGGATGAGGAATTAAAAAATCTACGGCAGGAAAATGAGAAAATAAAGGATGAAAACAAAGCCTTAACTGAACGCATCAACAATCTTGCATACGCTTTAGCAGATTTGAATAACAAAGCTAAAATCGCGGAAAACGAAAAGGCGAGCTTGGTTTGTGCCCTCAGTATCCTACAGGATGATTTTAAACATGCCTCAATTGCCAAGCCAAATCAGCAAAAAAAGCTCAATGCCGTCTACAAGTAAACCGACATGGCAAGAAGAATTGCGTGAACAGCCCAAGGAAAGTAGTAACTGCCGATAAACCTGAAATTACTGTTTCGCCGGGACAAATAAACATAACCCATTACAGATTTTATCAGAATCACAGTATGACGATGATGCTGGGCTAAGTAACGAGGCAGCTTCTCCTGCTGTAAATGAAAGGTACCAGAACCCAACTCTTGAAAAACGAAAAGGACAATCGAGAGAAAAATCAACGAGAACTAAACCTAAAAATAATCAGCAGAATAATGGATCAAATTCTACCGAAGGCCCAATAGCCATCCTGGGAGAGTCCATGATCAAAATGCTCAATCCATCACGGTTACGGCGCTCGATCGGCAGGAAGACCATAGTAAAAACATTTCCGGGAGCATCGGTACTGATATGAAGCATTATGTAAAGCCTACCTGTACTATTGAAAAGAACCCCGAATTCATTGTACTACACGTCGGGACGAATGACATCCACCAGAAAGAACCAAATTAAGAGTCGCAATGAAAAATAATGAAACTGATGTCCTTGCAATTAATGAAAGCAGAATGGACAACAGTATAGCACCTGATTTAATAACAATACATGGCTACAACTGGGTTTCCAAAGATAGAAATAGATTTGATAGGGTGGTATTGGTTTCTACATTAGAAATACAATAAATTATTGTCTTAGACCAGACCTAAATGGTAATGATCTCGAAATTTTAAAATTTGAAATTATTAAAAACAAAGTTAAGCCATTTCTAATTACCACATGGTACCATAGTTAATAGAGGAGATGGTTTGGAAACTCGTTAGCATTACAATAAACCTCACTATCTATGTTTTTGTTCAGGTTTATGCAAAAATGTGATCTTTCATCGTCACGTGCGTATTGTATTATTGATCAACCAGCCAACAGCAACGGTTTTGCCAATTACCCATCCATGACTTCAACAATAGGACATTTTGAACATTCCTATTGGTTGACTTGAGAAAAATATAATACGCACGTGACGATGAAAGACCACATTTTTGCATAAACCTGAACAACATAGATAATGAAGTTTATTGTGATTTTATTGTAATGCTAACGAGTTTCCAAACCATCTCCTCTATTAACTATGATATACAGTACAGTATTTAAATTTGAGAGTTGTTTAAAATTAACTGATAACGAAGACAAAGAAAGCATTATCTTAGGGGATATTAATTGTGATCTCCTAGACAACAATCCCACGTCACTAGTATCAGAATTGAAATTTATTACAAATCTATATCAATACGAACAATTGATAAAAGAGCCTACTAGGGTTACAAAAGATATTTCATCCCTTATAGATCATTTTTATACAACAAACACCAACCACATTATTTCTAGTGGTGTGACAGCTATTACTATCAGTGATCACTATTTGATCTGCGGCATTCATAAATTTAAAACTTTTAATCAGTCTCCACGATTTATTGAATATCGGGATTTTAAACACAACAAATGAACAAGACTTTATGTGTAATCTAACATTGTTATAAAATTTGAATCTCATCCATTCTGATCCTAATAAATCTTGGACGATTTGGAAAAACAAATTCCTAGAGATTGTAAATATACATGCCCCGCTTAAACGACGTAAAGTATCCAGTAAACAAATACCGTGGTTAACAAATGATCTTATTTTAAAAGAGCGGGAGAAGACCTATTTAAAACGCAAAGCACTGTTATCAAAGTCTATGACTGACTGGTCCGACTACCGCCATGCAAGAAATCGTAATAATTGATTAGTGAAAGATACAATACGCAGTCATTTTCAAAATGAATTACATAATAACCAAGGTGATCTTAAAAAACCTGGAAAATGATTAATGAGTTAATTAGTAAGTCTAAAAAGAGAATACAGTTCTAGAAGTAAGGATTGATTCTGTTGAAATTACTGACCGATTAACATCACAAATGCATTTAATTAATAAGCATTTTGTGGAAATGGAGATTAGCTTTCGAATCATATACCCCAATCAAATGTAACTCCTGAAAGTTATCTTAGCGACGTTGAAAATTCAGTAAATCAGTTAACCAGTTTTAAAGAAATTACAGAACCAGAAATATTAAGTTTACTTCAGGGATTGGTTGCCTCTAAAGCATCCGGCATCGATGGAATTTCAGCAAAAACTTTGAAAATCGCAGCTCCAGCAATTACTCCATCAATTGTATCAATTTTTAATCAATCAATCGCAACTGGTATATTCCCATCTGATTAGAAAGTCGCTAGGGTAGCTCCAATACACAAAACAGGGGCTAAGCACAATATGGAAAATTACAGACCGATATCTGTTATTTCAATTATAGCGAAGATTATGGAGAAACTGATGCATAACCAATTATATGACTATCTTATAGCTTCAAACCTACTAACAAATTCCCAACACGGCTTTAGACCATGTCATTTAACAACCACAGCCCTATTAGATATCACTAATAGATGGTACCAAAACATGGACGTATGACAATTAAAAAATGGGGTTGTATTTTTAGATTAAAAAAAGACCTTTGATACTGTTGACCACGACATTCTTCTAAAAAAATTAAAAATTTATGGCACAAAATGCATGGCACTCTGTTGGTTGCGATCATATCTATCAGATCGAATCCAATATTGTCAAGTAAATGGTCACCTGTCAGACCCCCTAACCTTGAGGATCGGATTACCACAAGGCTCGGGATTAGGCCCATTATTGTTTTTGATCTATACTCATACTGGTACGGCACGGATAAAATTGGTACCCGTACCAATTTTTGGTTCTCGGAACACCTATTTAACTAAGCCCCATTTATATTACGCTCCATTTTTGATACCATACCACTTTTTGGTTCTTGGGCTACCTAAATAGGTAGTCAAGAACCAAAAAAGTGGTACGGGTACAAATTTCATCCGTGCCGTACCAAAAAGTGAGCGTAGTGTAAACGGGGCTTTTGATTATTGCTCGCAAGTTTGGGGTTGCCTAGGAAAGGTTTTATCAGATAAACTTCAGCGTCTCCAAAATAGAGCGTTTCGTATTATTACCCGTGAAGGATATGAAACGCGATCAAAAGATATTCTAATCAAGGCAGGATTTTCAGATCTGCAAAGAAGAAGGGAACAACAACTTGCTACATTAATGTATAAGATTAAATATAAAATGCTTCCAAACTATCTGCAGGATATTTTCATCAATACACAAGAAGTCCATAATCATAACACCAGGCATAGAGAATTTAATTATACATTACCAATGCCAAATACTGATGCTATGAAAAAATCATTGGGCTACAGAGGTGCCGATACTTGGAATGCTGTCCCAATTGGGCTGAAGTCGCTAGGAAGTGTATCAACTTTTAAGAGTGGGTAAAACAATGTAGAGTGATATAAGTTATAAAATTCATTTATATTTACAGTATAGTTAGCACACGGCCTATTGGAAGATTACTTTTTCTGGTTTTTGTAAATAATATATTTTAATATCCTGTGAAATAGTACCATGTTTAAGTAAAGTTGAAGTTGAAGTATATCTAAATGGTGGAAAGAAATTAAAAAACTTGGCTATGGTTCTAGCAAAATGGAATGGTGTGAGCGACTATAATGGGCGAGGCAACGGGTACAATGGATGAACTAGGTGAGAACATTAATAGTTTTTTCGTTAGTTTATCATCAGATTTCCAACCCCTCGAAGACGATCCGAACTATCAAGCCGAATGTACACCCGATATGCTTGGTGACCCATATAAAGCGTATCGTGCCTTGAAGGAAGTTAAATGTCATAAGTCAGTTGGTCCAGATGAAATTCCTATTAGGATACCTAGAGACTTTGCTTCCGAATTATCCCCAGTGGTGTCTGACATTTATAACAGTACTTTGAGATAAGGAAAAATCCTTGAATTACTAAAGTCCTCAATTGTCACCCCAATACCTAAGTGTATGCTGCCCAAGACAATTGAGGAAGACTTTCGTCTAATATCTTTGACACCGCAGATAGCCAAATTAATGAAAGGCTTTACTTTGAAACCGTTCCTGATTGATATTGGCGAGCAGATTGACCCATATCAGTTTGCGATGAAAGGCCGTTGTACAACACATGCATTGGTCTTTTTACTGCATAATGTCCTGGAGACACTCGACCAAGGTTGTTCCTCGGCTCGCGTATTTTTCCCTGACTTTAGTAAATGTTTCGATTAAGTTGATCACGGTGTCCTAATTGCTAAATTAGAGAAATTGAATGTACACTCCCGCTGAAGTGGAATGGATTCGAGCCTTTTTGACGAGAAACAATGTGGTCGCATTCGAGATAAGATGTACTTGTTTAAGTGTCTTATTAATGGAGTTATACCTCAAGGTATCATATTAGGCCCTATCCTATTTGTGGTTCTGGTAAATAGTCTACTTCTGGAGTGGAATTTCAGAATCAAATTCGTACGTGGGCGATCTAACAACTATAGAATTTATCCCGAGATGTTTGCTGAGTGTAACTCCCTTGCTGGTCAATGACATCTACGATTATGCCTCTACAAGGGGCATGCAATTAAACTGGAAGAAATGCAAAGAAATGATAATTAATTTCCTCCAATACAGATTAGCATTCCAAGATGCATCACAGGTTGGTGGGAATAAATTGAAAGAGTATCATCATACAAGTTACTTGGTGTTTATTTGAATAACGATCTCTCATGGAATCTACACTGTGACTATATAAATAAGAAAGCTAATAAGAGACTATATAATGCGTATACTACAGAGAGAAAAGATTGGGTATCAACAACTTGTAAGTCTACAATTATTGAAAAGATAATACACATGCAGGATAATACACTGGCAGGATAATATACATTTGACGTACGTTTCTTCTCGTTTGGTGCTAGTTCTAGCTTAAGTGTAGGTAGTCGTGCGAAGACGAGGATTAGTTATACGAGTGATGTTTGGAAATTTTGCCAAAATTGGACGAGTCCATTGTCCAATTTGGCAAAATTTCCAAACATCACGAGTACTATTAATCCCTAATTGTGCAAACAACATCGCATGAGTACTTGTTCATTATTAGCATAACATGCAAGATTGGATAATTCTCAATGTCTACATTATATTCTCCCCAAAGCCCAGTTCTGCCAGAATTTCAACCAAAATTTGGTACGTTTATTCGTATTTTCATTTAGTTCTTTTGCTTTAAGTTAAGTTCCTCCGGGGCAATTTCATTTTTGTTTAAATACCTTTCCGCAATTTGGTTTGTTTTTGGAATATCATTAGTTGTACTGCAGTACAATTAATGGAATAATTGTAATCCTCTCAACCAATCAGCATCTAGTAATTTTGTCATGCAAATAATAAAAACATGCAGTTAATCTGGTTTAAATATATGATTGTATGCTTGATCACTTCAGAGCTGACGCTTGGAGAGAGTTCCTTAATTCTGCTGTTGTACAGTAACCAGTTAATTGGCAGCCTGTGTATAGGTAAGTACACTCCTATACGACATAACTTTGGTATTTAATTTGTGTTCCATCTTTCAAAGAGGCGCGAAGGAGTTAGAGTCAAGTGTTTTCTAGTTGATAATAAATTTGCAGAGTGTTTTTAGCAATTTGTTTTGCGTATATGAATGAGCCGGTTAGTCTCGTTCCATCTTATAGCTGTGTCAGTGATAGCGCTTGTTACTAAGGTATTTGGCAAAAGGTTGTAAAATGGAGGAAGAGAGTCAAATATTTCATGCGAATTTGCCGAGTTTTGCTTACGTCTTCGATCAACCAAATTCGCTATCATATCTTATGAGTGTCGCCGAGTTTTTTTTAACTTTTTCGACCAATCAAATTCGCTCAACAATAAATTATCATCCCACATCGTCGCATGAAATTTGTCGGGAAATTCCAAATGTTTCATACATTTTTTGTTGTACCCAAAATTTCCTCTGTAATCAAGTTTTTTCTTTGACTCGTCTTCGAATAACCTAATTTCGGGTGTGAAGTGAGTATGTATGTGCGTGTCGGTAAAAGAGTTTCCTTCCTTTCTTATATTGTGAGAGACCTTATATAAGATCGACGTTAACCAACAGCAAATCGCTAACCGCAAACTATTACTCGCTTTTGGAAATAAGTTATACGCGTTTTCGACAGAGATGTATTGCTAATACATATTCCAATTTTAATGTACAAATTGCTCTAACTTCGAATGGCTAACTTTTTACTTTAAAATACGCCGGATTTGAAATTTGCCGCTGCCTGTTAGTTCTCTCCAGTAAACGTCAATCTTAAGTTCTCTATATATAGACATGCACGTCACAGTACATTCACAATGCAATATCGAGCCTTCCATGCAATTTGACTTAACCCTAATGAATTCATGGCTACAAAAACAATTGCTGGAACATTCTTACGGTAAGAGACCTGTCATAAAGTAACTGCTAGGGTGGGCCGGAGTGATTTGGGATGGGCCATGGAAAATCTTTTTGCACTTTCGATGGGCCGCCAATTTTTTTGTATGCCCATCGTTGGGCCACCAAACAAAAATACATATCTACTTTCATCACTTATTATGATAAATATAATAGCAAATAAGACTTTAAAGTCAAACATAATACAAATATAAGAGGGGTGTACACTGTACGGAGGGCAGCAGGGGCAACTCCTCCTGCCCTCCCCGCCGAGAAAATTTAACTAATTTTATAATGTGATTATGCTTGTAACTGATAATTATGCAGTCATGAAATAAAAATTTTATGCATGCAAACAATATTCGAAGTGTCTATACAGCCGGCTATTTAGTAAACTGTCACTTGTCAATCCATACTCACCGAATTTTCAAAGCTTTATTGTAATCATTTGAAGTAAAAATTCAGTCACTTGTTGTTTACACTTGCCAATGTTAGTTGTTGAGTAACATACACAAACTAATTGAGGAACATGCATTACTGTAGCAAAGAGTCAATCATATATCGAAGACCACTGAACAGTAGAGAATGTTTTGAAAGTCATGAGTGAAATATATAATTCATTTCCAATCCTGTGCACAGTGATATACCACACTGTTCGGTTTAACACAGCATTTCCACACAAAAACAATTTGAATTGTGTTGTGGGAGAATATCTGTTTGAGTAGAAGTATCACAAGTTTAGTTTTGTACATTGTGTGCCATTGATCTGATCCATCCATATAATATATGATTATTGTAGCTGTTAAGCATACCAATGAATTTAGGTAAGATTGTCTTGCAAGTGGGTTGTTCTGACAAAATTATCCAGCCAATATCCAGTGCATGTATTCGTCATTCTTCTATTAATCTCTAAACAAAAACATTTATATTAGAAAGCAAAATGACAATGTAATGAGGAGGAAGGGTAGGGATTCTTTTATTAGCATTTGAAAATGGTTGTAATAATTTTGTTTAATTAACCCTAATGTGTAAAACCAAAATGTGTAAGTATAATTTTAACTGATGACATCTTTACCTTTGCTCTAACACTACATTTGGTGACAGCTTAGTTGGACTGTTGTTTTGAACAGAGTTACAGAAATACATGCAGGACCAGGATTTAATTCAATATCTTGAGAGAACATTACTATCTTGTGATATTGTTAATTGGCAATATAATGCCTGCAGCCAGAGTTTTGACTGTTGGAAATATTACACAATGATTGTTTTTATACTGCATAAATGTATATAATAAAATAGGTGGTATTTGACTACTGTACTTACCAAAATGAGGATAAGTTTCCATGTTGATAGATAACTTCGGAATAATATCACAAGTAGAATGGTGAAAACAAGACTATATATCAAGATAAAATGAAGATATTTTTGAAGCCGAAATATGGCAAAGAATAACACGAGGCAAAGCAAACTACACCCGTTCGCAGGTTAGGTGCGAGCACGATGTAAACAATTGATGTAAGCTAATCGCTGATTGACTTAATTATATAAGCTCGTCGCTGAATGGCTATGGGCAACGTTACCAGTTATCTGCTTCGCAGATACAAAAATAAAGACATACACCGGCACCGATTGATATATGTTCATACCTGCAAGGTTTTTTTTTATTATAAAAGTGTATTTTCCCAATTTAGATTGGGTGGGTGGGTCATGAAATAAATTTGGTAAGATTGGATGGGCTTTGAAGTTTTTATCTACCTCCTGACATGGGTCACCAAACTTATTGGCAAAATTTGTGATTTACCTTCAGCCCACCCTATAGCAGTTACTTTATGACCAGTCACTAATACAATGAATTTTTATTGACAAACAACTTGTTTGACCACATTTTTCGAAGAAATTACTAAATTCTACCAAAAATACATGAATTTACAAAATCTGGCCACACTGGCAATGCCAACGTGTAAAATATTTCATGGGTTAAGAGAATATTTATATCGATTCATTTCCTGTTTTTACAAATAAGATTCTCGCCTTTTACTAACAGAAAAATAAATTGACTAAATTATCTGCATGTTAAAGAAAGTGCATGCCATGGAAGATAAATTATGGGTTCGTCCAAAGAACATTACTGCGAACGGTGGTGCTAGCTATTTGGGGAAGCGGGGGGACGTTTCGGGTAAACAACAGTTTCACGTTTCACATGAAAAACAAAATGAACCATTGCGCGGAAGTTTCTACCTGGAGGTTTTAACGCCTTTCATAACCCGTTAGCCGATTTTTACGTTTTCGGAACTAATTTCAGCAGTGAAAGTCATGTCGAATAGAAATGAAGTCGAGTATACAATCCGGAAATAACCTAACAAAAACCGAGTTTAATCTAGGTCAAACCTGGCTTAAATCGAGGTTGGACTGAGGATACACCGAGGTCAGTCCAAGGTTAGACCGAGCTTGGATCGAGGTTCGACCGCGGCCAAAATTGACCGTTCGCGACGCGC